CTTTATACTTTCAGGGAATTTTAACTTGAAATTTTCTCATGTCTATACTTTATAACTCAATAACCTAATGACTAGTAAATAATTGATGGATTTAAATTTACATATATTGACAAGTGGAAAATTCTTTATAGAATTATGTTATAAGTTAATTCATCAAGAAAGTTAAATGGATATGCGGAGAGTATAAGTAACAATGATACGATTGCATGTTCGAGGTGCATTAATGGCTTATTATATTTTCAGGAAATCAAGGGGATGAAGAACGTGTCAGGACCGAGTAATGGTTGTCGGACTGTGACAAAAGGCTTGTAGTTTCAAAGCCTATGTAAATATTAAACAGAGACAATATCAAGTTTATATATAACTGAAAAGTGTTGACCATATATATATACTGAGAGGTGTATTTAAAATTCTCTTTTGTACAAATTCAACATTTCCTTAACTATTATTTTTATTAATTATTTTTTTAGGAGAAAAGTTAGAAATGTGGTTGAAGATTATGATCCTAGCTCTCTTGGAACTGTTACGAATTTTAAATTCTGGAATGTTGGGAGGATCAATTTTTTTTGGGGAAAAAAGATTTTTTCTTTCTTAGTAACATTCGATTGTGTAAATTACAAAAACATTTTAAGTTTTAATATAGTCTAGATCCTTACCATCTAACATTGACTTCTCTTTCATCCATTATCATTCTGGCTTATCGAGAAGCCCGAACTAGCAACTTTTCTACTTCTGTTCCTGGACTTCTTTTATCAGAGTTAGACAAACTGTTTTTCATTTACCAATTGCACCTTTCCCATACTAGTGTTCGTGACCTAGGTAGTAAAAGCCATCTTGATAGAGTCACCTACGATTTTAATCAGGAGGTGTACTTTCCTGCTAGCCTTTGCTCTTACAGCTCTCGTGTGACTGACGTCTGGATTAACTTTCTTGAATTGTTTGCTCAGCACGTCAGCATACGACTTTCCTTCGTCGACTCTGATCAACATGTTTACACTTGTCATTCTACCTATCGTATTCAGAAGCATTTTCAAGAAGAGTATCATGTTCTACAGAATCATTTAAATTAGAAGTGCTTGTCTGGACCACATCTAATAGCAAATAAAGAAGCGCAGTAAAAAATTTTACATTATTCTTAATTTGCAATGTCTTCAATAATATAGTAGAAGATACATCATAATAATAAAATGGTATCATAATAAAATGGTTTCATTATTTCTGTTTAGAAATTATAAAAGGCACGATAAAAAAAAGTGCCAACTTGAGGTATTGCAACGTTCAAATAAAAGTGTACCAAACGATAAAAGACGTTTTAAAGATCCTCCCAACGTATTATCGCAAGGCATAGGAGCAGCATCAGGAAACTGATAACTGAGACAAACGACTTCAATGTGCTAAAGACGCTGGCTGGAGAATATCGCGAGATAAGAAATAATAGTAGAGATCAGATTCAGTCTGGAGTTTCCAAACCATAGACTAACAATATCGAAAAGAATCCAAAGTCCCTACAAAACGAATATTTTTTCTATAAAACCATTTAATTGATAGCCAAGGAAGACCAGAAAACTATTATTATTAAAATAATTATCGTCATCAAAACTTTATAGAAGTAAATGACTACTTTTCTATAATTATTTTCAAAAAATTAATTACAATTTCAAGAAAGGGTAATTAACATCTTAATAAAGATATATTTATTCTCTAATTTGACAGTAATTTCATTCTTATTTGTCTGGTACAGTTGAGACAAAGATCAAGTGGAAAACTTTCGATTATGAAACTTTCCCTAAAGTTCCCTAAAGAAATTAGAATGAAACACACTTTGAAATGAGGTTTTAATAAAGTCGAGTTGTTTCATTTTCAACTAAGCCACCAACTAAAAATATTTCAATCCCTATAACTAGAATGCTAATATTTATTTACAAGAAACATTTAATATTCAAAAATTCTTAATTATTCCTCAATTCTCATGTACTTATCACTATTTAAATTTACTCCAAAAAAATACATTTTTTGTTGATGAAATTGTGTTTTAAATTCAATAGTTGAGTTGCTCGAGAGCTTTTCACGCTTTTATAATACATATTCGAGATGAATCTCCAGTGAAGGAAAATTAAAAACAGTCTGAAAAGAAGCTACAAACGTTTTTTGGTGAACAATTCAGAGTTGCAAATCGAGAGGGTTTAATTATAAGTAGAAGCGTTCCAAGCGGCACTAAACTTTTTACATACATATAAAAGCACATAACAGATTTGAAATGAAACTTTTTACATAGCCGCGAGCACGTAAAATGTGGATTTTACTTTTTTAAAAAACCAAGCAGAATTGCGACAATGACATGTTAAAATTTTAAAATCCATCTGTTGTTCCAAACGTCATTCTAACATTTGTAGTTTAAAATAAATAATTAACTTCATTATGTAAAGTAAAAAATGCAAATTAAAAAATTTTTTTTTACATAAAACTTATTGTTAAAGTTTTGAAATTTTGAATTTTTACTCATGAATAATTTAAGATACATGATAATGAGAAGATTGATATTAATTCTTTCCATCCTTTCTTTTTTACCTTTGACATATTTACACTATTCTTTACCCTCATTATGCTTAAGCTATCAAACAGTTTTTAATAATTTACAAGGTACATTAGAAAATTAATTGTAATTCATGTTTACTAAAAATTGAATCTTAATGATTAGGTACACTTTTAATTTTTCTAATTCTTAACAACACAAGTTCTCTATGTTTATTAAAACTTTATTAAAATTTTAAAAGAATTTGTAAATTCACACAATCGAATGTAATTTATTAATTTATTTATGTTTATTAATGTAATTTATTAAAACTTAATCTGTACACAATCGAATATCATTCAAGAGAGAAGAATTACAAATTTGAATTTATTATTTAATTTCAAATAATATTGTTTAGAAAAAATTTATTTTTCCGAAATGTTATTATTAGCCAAAAGAAAATAAAATTAATATAATTTATTTAATCAAGCATGAAATTTACCTTAGAAAGAATAGCAAGACAATACTAAAGTTAATATTGTGATAGAGATAAAGTAAATATTGATTTGCCTGGCAATAATATTGTCCATAATTCTATAATGAAACAGAAATGTACTTCAATATTGTTAAAAATTATAGCAACAGTAAAAGACACCTAAAAGTAAATTTTTATAGTACTTACAGAAAATTTAAGGAACCTAATAATAAAACCTAATAAGAAAATATTTATATAATTAAAAAAAAATTTTTTGTCTTGTTCACAGATTCTGAATCTTCAAATAATGAAATATGTAATGTTCAATTTAAGATAATGGAAATTATAAGTATTATAAATTATAATATAGTATCATTTAGCAAATAGCATTTTAATACCTTTCTACTGCAACTTTTTTCATATGCATATTAAAAATGATAATTCTGTTAATGAAGTTAATCCATTATTAGTGCAAATTTCGTTTAACCTGGTATTTCATTTAAGTGGAATTTTTGCTCTATACGTGAAATCAAATATTAGGTCAGATTCTTTTCATGAAACTTTACGACTAATTTTCTTCTAATAATCTAAATTTATCGTCATTCTCAAATATGGGGTTAAATATTAAGGAAAACAAACAAATTGAAAGAAAATAAAATGAAAGTTTATATAATTTTATTTATAAATTATCCAATTATGATTAAGAATTTTCTGTTCTAGTTATTTAATATTTTGTAAAAAATATAAAAATAGAAAGAAATACTTCATCGAGAAATGAATATGAAATAAACAAAAAAATTGTATCCTTTTTTAAAAAATAATTATTGAAAAAAATGTTAGACTTTCAATTTTATGTTCCAATTAAAAAGCTTTAATTAAAAAAACAGAATCATATCAGATATATCATACACTATATAGTGTTAAAATTTTTACTGATCAAATCTCAAAAATAAATTTTAAAAATGCATTGGTAAATACTATTTATTTAAAAAATTTAACGAAACATAGTTTTTTGATCAATTTAAATAAAACACCTTGATTTCGTTTAAGCTTTAAAATTTCTGATTTGTCATATAAGAATTTTTATTTAATAATAAATCATGAATGAAGGTGAAATTTCGAAAAGAAATGAATACTAATACTATTTTCTGCTTTTTGAATTTAGAAGCTAAATAAATTCAGCTGTAGAAATTTCTGCTATAAAGTATTGAAAATTTCTTCTAAAATGTTTATTTTGAAATGTAGAGTATCAAAAATTCCTTAATTTACTCTAAAATAATTCATTTACGTCTTTGAATATTTAACAGAAATTTCGTTTAATTGAATTCGTTTTGAAAAATCATTTTTTCTAGTAAATGAAAATTCATAATTGAATTTTTCATCTCATCAAGATCTGAAATTACACCTCCCCCCCACTCTCCCTATTTACTACACACACACACACACACACACAATTGCCCCTAATGTTATTTCTCAAGTTCTGTTCTGTAAAAACTTTCTTTCCTCTTTTCGGTTAAAAGTTTCCTCGCTTTTGTGACCCTCTTTTTTTTCCCTGAGTTTTTGCGCCCCTCTCTCTATATATACTTTCTCACCTAACACACTTTGTGAAAATTTCATCTTTTTTTTATGATTTTTTCAAACTCTACGATATACTTAACAGATATGGTTAATATTATCTGGAATGATTAAATGAAACGATTGAATAGACTGAGAAAAGTAATAAGATTTGATAGATAACTTTTCATAATATGATCATCTTTATTATAGGTTTGTAAACTTTTTTGCTTTATTTACTTTGATAGGAAAGAAATAATTAATAATTTTTTTTTCAAATGAAAATAAGGGGTGATTTTTTTTTGTGTAAATATTAATAAAACTATGGTAAGAAATTATTCAAAGCGTGAGCGGGAACATCTGCCAGAATTTCTGATCATCTGACAAGCGTGAAAAGGTTCTGTGTGGGAGAGTATATGATATATGTATGAAGAGTTTTGACTCTCTGGTATTACTCACTTTTTGGCCCAATCACAAGAGAATTTTCGTTTAAGAAGAAGATGAATACGACAAAATTCAAGAATGGATTAGCGGAAGTGATTGATGCTTTTCCGTGGAAAGGAAACGAATGTCTCCATTCAGTTCAGTAGCATTTGAAATTGAATGCTATGTGTATATATATATATATATATTCGAAGCACTCTAAGAAAAGCACACACTCGCGATGAGAATAACGACGATAACGGCGACGACGACAACGAGAGAATGAGAGAAACGCGGGGGATGCAAAAGCCGACGTATGAACGCGACGGGCGTCGCGACGATACTGCGCCCTATTGGATGGCCCTGCGCAAATATACCAGAACTCCCCTTACGCCCCCTCACACCGAAGCCGCAACGAAACCCACGGGTGGCCGACGTCGCCGCTGGCAGCGCCTTTTGCCACCCCCTTTGCCGGCCACAAGTGACCCCCCCCCCTTCCCACCCTCACTCTACCAACAAGCATTAACCCTTACGCTATTGTCCAAAGGAATCGGAACTGATGGGATGCCGCTTTGTACTTCCGATTGCGCGCTTTTACTAGCGCTGTCTTCATTAGTTCTTGGAGGCGCGTCACCGCTTCGTCAAGCGTGTAATAGGCACGCATCCGCATGCTCAAGGGGGTGTTAATGCGAGCACCACACGACCCCTTTTTTTAAAGAAAAAAAGGAGTGAGAGAGAGAGACGGGGAGTGTCGGCTTGTTGAGAATCATCCCTTGTGTTAGAGAGACTCTCGAGTTGTTTCATCGCTTGAGTAAACCCAGAAACAATTGCTTCATAGGAGATTCTTTTCTTTCTGAATTTTCACCCATTTTATAACAAAAAAAACTCTTTAAAATACCTTCTGTTACGATATTTAACACTGACAAGTACAATTAACAAAAAGGAGAAACTTGAGGAAATTCTAAAAGTCCTGATTGTATATCAACAGACTAAATTTGTCTCTTCCAACCCTAGAAACCATAAGTAATAACTTTCAACCAAATACAAATACTCGATTTATTGTAATTTTGGTACTCATTACCAGTTAGGGATTTAATATTAATAAAATAAAAAAGATTTTTGTAATTTATACAATCGAATGTTCTTCAATATAGTATGACTATTATTTTTTGCTTACCCTAACATTAACGGATATTCCAGGATACCCTACCGACGTCCTAGTCATGTCCGGTAATTAGGATCTCGTACCCTCTGGGCACGGAAACGTCTTTGTTCTAGAAACGTTGCTAAAACTTTTTTAGAACGCTTCATGTCCACTGCATAACGGCTTAAGAACGCCCAATGTTCTAAAAACGTTTTTAGAACATATAACGTTTTTAAGACCATATGTGAAGGACATGAAACATTCTAAAAACGTTTCTAGAACAAAGACGTTTCCGTAACCAGAGGGTAGATTGTCCTAGGACATCCTAATTATCAGATATAGTTAGGAAACAATTTCCTAATATCTTTAGGACGTTCGTAGGATATCTTGAATACCAGATATTCTGTTAGGAAAGAAGAATTTCTTGATATATTTATTACACCGACTAAAATAGAAGTAGCATTACCTGAAGAAAGAAAGTCCCTGTAATTCTACCATTCCTCCTAAATTTATAAAGCAATTATTAAAATTAACCAAGTTCTCGCCTTAAATTATAACACTCAGTTAGTTCTTACCCATCATGACAATCAATAACACCATTTAGAATATTGTAAAAAGATTGTAAACACAATTTTATAAATTTACTCTGCGTGGAAGGTACATACCTTATTATAGAACGCAACTCATTGTAGTCATGACTTAAAAAATCCTAAGGTATACCTAGCTGTTCAGCTGCAAATCGCAAAAACCTCTTCTGGACCCTCTCCAATCTTACGATCTGATAATTGTAATACGGAAAATAAATAGTGGAATGAAACTCACGGCGAGTCTTTACCAAAGAAAAATATAAAAACTTTAAGAATGCGAAACTTCCTCTTTTACATGGGTTCAAATGTGCAAAAATAACACCTATGATTTCTCTATTTGATCAATATGTTTCGAATTTGTTAAACGTGTTCAAAATGCAGGAGGTGTGACGCTGTGGAGTACCAAACTCCCTAAAGGGCATACATCAACTGAATGACGTTATGAAATCAATTTCTCACAAAAGCTATCAAAAATGCTATTTCCCACATGAGTATGTGAACTATTTATTCACTGATGCGTATCTCTTAAGCTCAAATATATAAATTTTTTTATTCCAAAGTGTAAAATTTTTAACCTAATTCATGGTCCATTAATCTTTCATTATAATCTATATAGAGGGGTGACCACTCTTGTTCTGGTAGATCCACGAAAAATCATTCTTTCTTTCTTACGGGACGACTGTTAGAATTCACACTTTGTAGAAAATAGATCCTTGGAACTAGGCGACCCATGCTGTTGCCAATCTTTCTTGACCTATATGTTCATGGTCCATGCTGGAGTCTTCTTGGCTTCCGCAAGGGCTGTCCTGAATGCTCGGTATCTAATTTTGCTAGCGACGTAACTTATATTGACCATGTCATCATAGTTTTCCGTGAAGAAGAACTAGTTTTGGCTGCGAAATTAAGATAAGCTGCGCACAGTACCTACAGCACGCAGCGGATCTGTCCACTGTCTTACAAACTCTTCCTATGTGTATGCGGTCGTCAAAAATTGACTACCCTTCCACTGGGTATATGCTGAATACAGGGCGCAAAACTTTAATCAATAAAATGAGTCCTGACCCAAAAAGCAATAAAAGTGGGTAGTGTGACGTCAATTCCCTTTGCAAAGGAATAGTATAAAGGGAGGCACCCCTGCCGAATTCGCTAGTCCAGGAAGAGCCTTCAACTTAACTAGACACAAGTCACCACTTCGCGCTATCTTCGTATCAGTCCAGAAGTCACCCTTGAATCAGAAACCCACGTTCTTCGTTAGTCCAGAAACCGCGACCAAGTTAACAAGTTGTGTATTGTCATCGAGTTTATTCTACGACTCCAGTTCCAAAAATCTCTTCAAGTACCAAGTGCATTCTTCAAGTCTCAGTCAAGTTAATTCAAAAAGAATTTAATCAAGTTGATCATTTCTAATACGAGGCACATTTCTATTTGCTAAGGACTGCATTATTTCGACTTCAACATCAAATCAATAATTCGCCACCTGGACTCCGGACCTTCCACTTTGTCTGTCCCGAAAACAATTCGAAGGAATCTACTCCATACTCGGTTTCCGCTAGACAACGTCATTGCTTCGACCTCAGTTAGGTTACTCTCCATGGATGCAAGATGAATTCAAATTCATTCAAATTAAAAAAAAATTTGTTATTTATACAATAGAATTTTATCCATCCCGAAAGATGCAAATTGTAATCTTAAAATCAATAATTACATAACTGATTATCAAAAGTCAAAACGTGTTTCCCAGAACCGAAAAGGATATTTGAGGAAATCAGAGAAGCAGGCAAAAATTTTCCGGAAATCAATCACAATTAAACGACAGCTTCGAGAACTAGAGATACCTCTATTCGTGATGTTTGGAGAAAAACGCTTTATCAGAAAAGAACTTGAAAAAAGAGAAGTAATTCGATTCGAAAGAGGGGTTGTAAAAGTGATTCGGGATTTCATCTATTCGTTTATTGGGTTACCGCCAAGAACATAAAACAATGGTAAAAAAAAACAGTAGCCCATCACAGGTAATTGTAGGATCAGAGAATTTGCAAAGTTGAATCTGCATACGTAAATCGACTGTTGACCTGAATCAGAAGTGTACAATATCGAGAGAACCGTAAAATAAAAGAAAGCAAAGATAACATTTTTCTCAACACTTCTACATGTTTTGTCACTTTGTTTTTTATGTTATTGTGAGGATATTTATTGCCGGACATATAAAGAGAAAGTCCAGGATATAATTTTAATTTTAGAAAATTTTGCTTTGTTTTATTTCTAAAGTAAAAAAAGAAAGCAAAGCTACTAAATGTCAGAGAAACTAGTACAACCCCTATATACGGAAATATAAGGATTGAATGGTTATTTCTTTTTAATAGGTGCTAAAGTGTGGAAATGTTTGTTGAAATGGTTTCTTTGTACTCTATCTCTTTATTTCCATGCATTTTGCTTGACATCGTGAATCTTCTAGGACAGATATACAAAACAGCATCAGACCAGCAAAGAGATAAGGTGAATTTATATCTCACGCTATTTATTTTATACAATGACAAATTGCACAAGAAAAGAATATCATCCTCTTAATTTATTTGCGTTCTTAAACATCTTTTATGTCACCTCTTTAAAAATCATTTACATATTTATAGTTTTATTATATTTTCGGATAATGGTCATTTTGTTTTAAAGGTTCGAATTGCCATTGACAAACAAGAATAGTAGACTGATTGTCAGTAGAATGTTTGAAAAGTGACGAAATGTTGCCTGTTGAGCGACAGAAAGACTTCTTCGAGAACTAGTTTTTCCAATATCTCCCTGATACTTTCACCGAGCAACTCCTTAGGGGATGAGGTATCAACTGACATACGTGGTCTACCATACATATTCCCTGCATCGTCTCTGTCCACTATCTGGAACTGTGCCAAAATCCTAGGCTCAGATATCAGGTGATCCTAGATTATCGGAGAAAGACTTTCATCTATTTATATATTTTCACTGGACATTCATGCACTTCGAGCAAATATTATTTTCATAATGGCATTACACCTTAAACTAAAATTTATCGATTTTTTTTACATAACTGATGGCTAAATTCCCACCTTTACTTTAGAAGATCCTTTTCAAGAACATCCTAGATAAATGAGAGTTAACCTGCTGAGAAGCATCAGAGTCCTTACGTACTAAAATCATTCTACATATATTATTCTCAATAACAATAGGACCCCGAAAGATTCGGCAATTGTGATTTGAAGCACATAACGTGATTCCTATTTTGACTTTCCTGGAAATCTTCATGTCAGGTAGCTGATCCTTCAAAATGCAGAGTTGACGATGACTAGACCACAAGTTCAAAGAATGTAACGAAAGGCTCAGTTGCTTCTTACCCCCCATGAAAGAAAGACGTAATGCCCTAACATTAAAGTTTTCTAAAAAAAAGATTTTTGTAATTTACACAATCGAATTTTATTTATCCTGGAGGATGGAAAATAGAAGCTTCTCATTCTGAAGCACTACAGTTCGACTAACGGAAAGGAAAGACAATTAAATTTTCAAGAATAATTTTATAATCAATCAACCTTTATTTTCTTGCATACGATAAATTTAACAAATTTCACATAAGTTGTAATTTTTAATTTATACAATCGAATTTGATTCAGGATGAAAAATGCTTTAGAAACAAGTAAAGATTCAAAAGTAGATTCAGAAGTTTGTATATTGTAGATTTCTAAGTTTAGTTTACAAAAAAAAAGAAATAAATAAATAAGCTGCATTTAGCCATACTGTAAGGATCCTCTGAGTGAGGGCAATCAGGAATTTTAAAAATAAAAGGATCCACTCCTGTGAAAGATTGTTAACAGTCCTTTGAGTCTCGTGGTCAGAAGATCTCAGCCGTGCATTATGTCTCACTCACTCCAGAAATATGATGAACCTCAGCACACATATATACGGTCGAACACACTGAAGTTGGCTCATGGTTCAGTGCCTCAAAAGGCTTTACACCTTTTGCAAAAGCTTAAGCAGAAAACTACATGGTATTTCACAGTGTAAACATCGTTGTACTATTCTACTTATAGATGATTACCCTCGGTGATCAGTGAGCTGAAAACACCTTCCATGCTCCGATAAATAATTAAAGATTTACCGTTTGAAAGTAACGTATACGTGTTAGTCACTTTCAAGCTTCATTTGTAATCATTATCATTATCATCATACCACAAAATTTATTTTGCATTTATTATTTTTATCATCGATAAACAAATCAATGTTTCCTTAAGTACTACATCGAGTGTAAAATTATTATATACTAGAATTTATATATTAATTATATGAAAACTCAATACTCTTATATTTATTGACATTGTTGTTGTTTACTTCTCGAGCATAAATAACCACGAAGGTTATTGTTATTTCCGCTAACACGACGCTAGGCTGTCTGCAACTTTAATCAATCTTCAGATCATCTTCAGATAAAAAAAGATTTATAATTAATACAATCGAATTTTATTTAGAAAATACTGTACAAAAGGTACTAAAATGTACCCTACTTTTCGTACTTGTCAAAATTTTGTAACGTTTTATTTAACTAGTTCCAAATGTTTAAAACATTAGTCAACATTCTAATAAATTTTTTAAACTTAAATATTTGAGTGTTTCTTTAGTATGTCCTAAATTATTATATTATTTAAATAAAAAATATTTTAACTTTCTATCCAATTTATTTTTAAAATCAGTATTGTGAGGAGGGTATAAGCAAGGGTATGTTATTGAGAAGTAGAGCGTAAGGCGAAGACACTTCATCCGCGATAGGCGATTATTAAGATCGTTAGGGTCGACTAAGCGTCATACACGCAAGAAACACTTTCATCAGAACCGTAAGTAATTCGTTTGATAATTTACTAAGCTGAGCGTAAAACCGCAATGAAAATGCTAATTTATGTGAAAAAAAGGGTAAGTCAAAAGAAAAAAAAAGGAGGTGGAGGTGATTTTGATGCGTGTTGTAAACCGAACAAAGGGATAAACCTTTTTCTTCTTCGACAAAAAAAAAAGGTTCGCTGATTTTACTCCACAAAGATGAAAGAATACTTTCATGGTGTTTTTAGTATCTTCCACAGGTTAGCAGGGAAAAGCTTTTTCACTGAATAACATCATCTAATAAACCAGTGACATTTACATGCTCGGAGGGATAAAATATTTCTTATACTTTCTTGCTTGCTACGACGTAAAAAGTACCAAAAAAAAACTGCTACGAATTTTTTTGTCATCAGAATTTAAATTTCTGTATAAAGCAAAATTGGATAGGACTTCTTGATTTAAAGTAGTAAGAAAAAATTAAAAATCTATTGCAATTATTATAGTGGTAATGTAATGTGACATTTTTCTGGCTCATAAAAAACTGATTAGCCGATTTCTATTTTGAAATGAAAACCATGGCGATCGGATAAAGAAAATTAATTTATGAGATTAAGTTCCGAACTCCAGCTCCGGAAGAGCAAAGAAGAAAGAGGTTTAGCATTCAAGAGAGGAAACTTAAATCAAAGAAAAGAAAATACTCTAGAAATGAAGAACGTACAAAAATCATTCTACATATATTATTCTCAATATAACAATAGGAGCCCAAAAGATTCGACAATTACGATTTGAAGCACATAACGTGATTTCTATTTTGACTTTCCTGGAAATCTTCATGTCAGGTAGCTGATCCTTCAAAATGCAGAGTTGACGATGACTAGACCACAAGTTCAAAGAATGTAACGAAAGGCTCAGTTGCTTCTTACCCCCCATGGAAGAAAGATGTAATGCCCTAACATTAAAGTTTTCTCAAAAAAAAAAGATTTTTGTAATTTACACAATCGAATTTTATTTATCCTGGAGGATGGAAAATAGAAGCTTCTCATTCTGAAGCACTAGAGTTCGACTAACGGAAAGGTAAGACAATTAAATTTTCAAGAATAATTTTATAATCAATTAACCTTTATTTTCTTGCATACAATAAATTCAACAAATTTCACATAAGTTTGAAAATTTTCATTCATTTTCAGAAATTCACAACAGAAAAGTAAATTATTTACCAGAAGTGAAATTAAAAAATGTAAATTACGTAGATTTAAACAAACAATAATTGAAATGTAAAAAATAAGAATGAAAAAAAAGTGAATTTTTTTTTATATTTCAGAATGAAAATTTGACATTAACTAAGCATAACAATATTTAAACTGGCACCCCTCATTATTAAAACTAATAATCACACTTTCATGTGCACAGTAATTAATTTCCTACGTTGAATTTTAAATTAACAGTTTTTTCTCAGTCGATTATGAAAAATTAGCTTAATATTCATTCATGCACAGAGAACCATTTTGGATTTATGATTTAGATTAGCTTTTAGAAACAATAAACCAATACAAAGCTAAACTTATCATTAATCCATTGGCACATCTCTAGTAAACTTAGAAATATTGTACATCCCAGCTTCTTACAATATGCGATTAATTGCAAAAAAAAAGTTTATTGCATTTTTAGCACTATACCAGGGAACAATAAACAAATTTTTTTCATTGTATTATAGAATTAAAAATTGATTCCAATACTAACGTTTTTAAAACATTATTGAATACAGCGAAAAATAAATTTAAAATACAGATTTTTTTCTCGACTCGAAATTGTCAATTGTTTTACAATATACAAGAATAGTTTACAATACTGCTAAAAATTTATTTTACAGTCTTCTCTATCATACATTTTTGACATTCTATCGTGACAACATTAAAATATTTTACACAATATTAAAAAATTAATTATAAAAATTATCCCAAGCAACAAAAAAAAATTTACATTTCGTTGAATTATACATTAAACCGAAGGTATTTTTTTTAACAAATATAAATTATCACTCAATTAATATCACAAGACGAAGCTAAACTATTATATGTACATTTACAAAATTAAATAATAATTTCCAAATGATTTCTGTTTAATTAAAAATAATAAAAAAATTGAGCGTGTTTATCATTTTAAAAAAATTGAACAATTTACAAATCGAGTCAATTTGGCCTAAATTATTCTCTTTGAAAATTAAATATAAATATAGAAGAAAAAATGATTCCCTGCTACTCTCGAAATATTCAACATTGCACACTAATTTAATACTCCCTATTCTATCAATTAATCAAAAAAGATTAATTAATAATAGTCAGTCACCGATTTATTTTTATCTACTAATCTACTAAAGATTTTAAAATTAATGGTAACATTTAAAAGAAAATAAAAATATTAATTGTTTATTGGTAACAAAAAAATAATTCTAAAAGAGAAACAATAATAATAAATTAATTGCAATAAATTAAATAAATATTTTGAAAATCTATAACAAAATGTGAATTAAAAAATAATTAATACACTAGTCATACATTTCGTTACGAATGTCAGTCGTGTCTTAACAATCGTTTTTTTTAAATTCAGATTCACAGAGCATATTTATTAATTTCTAGATAAAAAGGATGGCTTTTTTTTTACAAAAATCTTGTAAAGATATGAGGTAAATAAATCGAACCCTATATCCTATTTTATTTTTTGTTTTGTTTTGTAAAGAGAAATATCTTGAAAAATTCTTTTTTTTTAGTACACAACATAAAATTGTACTCTTTTCGTGTTATTCTTTTTTTTTCTCATCATTTATACAAATAACTCTTTCGACATTTACTTATACTACAAAATTCAGTAAAATACACCTGTAAACGTCATTATAAGCATTAAACTACTTATTAGCACAATTTTTTTTAAAAAATTTTTAATCAGTACGTAAAAAACTGGCAGATTCGTGAGAGACCTCTTGTGCAAATTGAACTACCTACTAAAATGAGAGCTTTCAATTTCAGTTTTATTCACTTGTGCACAAGTGACTTCCAAAAAACTTTTACATTTCTTTTTTTGTTTTCTTATTTTGGTGGAAGTTTTTTTTTCTTACGTGTGCTTACAATTATACAAACTAGTTAACAGTATGTTCGCAAGGATTTTTATTATAAATGATTTTTCATTCAAGTTTCAAATAATTGTAGAAAATTTTTTGCAAAGTTCGTATATTACATGAATAGAGGATTTTTTAGGGGGACATTTTTTTAATCTTTAGAGGGCCGGTAAATTTGCACAAATAATAGTTTTTTTTATTGAAAAAGAAGTTATAAATAAAAAAGTCAATTCGATAAAAAGATTCGTAAAAATAAATGGTGGGCACTATAGTAGCCACCCTAGCCCTCTGAAGGTTAAAATATAAAATTTCTTTCTTTGACGTATAAAAAAAAAAATTAAAATGTGTGGACATTTAAAATTTTATGAATATGATGAAGACCCTTCGTGGAAGGGTACCTAAGAAGTTAATTATTTTAAGATTTCGTTCATCTTACTTTTAAGTTAATATTTTTTTATTACGCAAAACTAAATTCTGTTTTTAGATGTAATGACTTAAAGATCCCCTTTTTCATTCTTACAATTACAATCATAGTCTGGATTTTTTTTAGGTACCTTCCTCCGGAGCGTCTTACATTCAAAGTTTCCTTCATAAATTATTTTTAAATTCATTAATATTATTTTAAAAAACTTATATTTAATAAAAATACTGTTATTTGGCGCTCCACAAACAAAGGGACTTATCTCCGAGGAGCGTCACATATTTTAAATTCAATTATTTAACAATCTAAGTGTAGAGCAAAAAAAAATTTAATTCTATTTTTCGCTATAAATATTTTACACCCAATAAAAAAAAAAGTTGTCCAAACCGGAAGGAAAGCATATATGTTATTGGGTGTATATAAAATTGACTTAGCAAGAATCTAAAAGCAAAGATCGTGAAAAACATTTCAAATATTTCTTGTTTTTCATTATAGAACTATTAACCTTAGGTGATAAGAAAAAATTAATAAATTTTATCGTATTCATGTAATTAATGAACTTTGCAAAATTTTCAGGATGTTTTCAAAATATTAATTGAATTGTTAATACCATTGACTGATTAATTTTGAGTTTTTAACCATGTTTGAGATCATTTTCCGATGTGTCGTTCTCTCGCCAAGAATTTACGACACATACATTATCACCGCGCCACCATTCATTTAAATCTTTGTAATATTTTGGTGCACGAGTGTCGTGCAACATGGCGCACACTCGACACCAAAAGTAGGTATTTATAAATTCTCCAGTGCCTTTCCACTTGAAGTACGAGTTGTAGAGCTCGTCGTCATTGTCCAGTCGATGAAGGTACTCAGCAAGCTCTTTAGGTGACTTGAATTCATCCACATGAATGTAGGATCGATATGGTGCGCTTTTAGCATAGTCCCTTGGATGTGCTCCCATCACTATTGGAAGAACGTTGTGTCTAAAAAAAAAGTAATTTTTGTAATTCTTTGTTTTCTCCAAGGTACCAGTCGACAATTAGACTATGACAATTTTTTGCCAATTAGGAATTGGTTTTGTTTCGTAATTAATAGTACGTCCAGAAAAGGTAGGTTTTTTATACTTTTTTTTATATTTTTTCGGCTTCTAAAGCAGACTACTGCCTTAAGAACGTTCAAGAAGTTAATAGAATTATTATTTTGTGTTTCAAAAGTAAATTGCAATCTTTCATCATAAACTGAAATCATTTGAAAATGTCAATCACTTTAGCGATTCCGTAGGAATCTTTTGGTATGCAAGTGATCATCAACGTATCTATAGAAAAATAATGGTTGGAAAAATAATTTCGTTTTGCAAAAGTTCCCAAGACAATGACGATGTCCGCAAACAATCCATAGAATACAATCATCAGAAATATTAATATCTTTCATTTTGTTTATGAAATCATAACTATTAAAGTATTTTTTATTTCCCTTACCCAAGTCCATTAACGAAAAACTTCTCCGTAATGTAATCTCGGCAATTAGAGTTTTCAAATGCGAGGTAGAATTTGTAATCGGCATCCAACATGTCGAAGCAAGCTTGAGATTGCGAACGTGGACAACGCAAGTTACCACAAGCACCATAAATATCGACTTGAATGTGTTTGGATAATTCTTTGGCATAATTCATTCTTTGATTACGTGGATGACAATTTGACACAAACCAGGCAACCTAGAATTCATTGAATGAAATACATAAATATTGTTGGAATTATCAAATTTTTTTTAGTAAATTATATTGTAAATTATATTGTAAATTATATTGTAAATTATATTGCAAATTATGATTAGGTAAATAATAGTTGTAAAACGTCTAGTGACACGTAAAGTATATAAATATATTTCAAGTATGTTTAATTTAAGTAAAAAGATAACAGTAATTGTATTTCATTTTATTTTGAGGAAAATAAAAACAAGTTTTATATTCATTAGATCAAAAATCTTATTTCAGGAATCGAGCGAGTGACATAATTTCAAATCAAGTGACTTTTGCAGTATTGACTTTCAAAGATGATGGCCCACATTCATTGACCTAAATTCTGAATAGAGAATACATATATATTTACATGAAAGAATAAACTTTGATGCTATTGAGTATTTTTGTTTCTAATATATACAAAAACTATTCCAAAAGGGAGATACAAGATGGCTACGTTTCGGACATGAAACATTCTAAAAACGTTTTAGGAACGTTTCTAGAACAAAGACGTTTCCGTGCCCAGAGGGTAGTATACTTAAGTTTATACAGATTTAAAAAATGATTTGTAATTTTCACAATCGAATATTATTCCATAAAGAAGATGCTGGATGGTAAGATATAAACTCTTTTTATTAACTTTATTAACATTTGTATTTTTATTAGTAATTTACACAATCGTATATTATTGTTTAGAGTGGGAGAAGCAAGATAATAAGAACTAATTCTCAAGTTAATTTTAATTTAAAAATGTATTTGTAATTTACACAATCGAATATTATTCAGAATAGAAGATGCAAGAGAGCATGTTCTAATCCGCACCTACCTATTTGTTTAGATTTAAAAATTTGTTAGTAATTTACCCAATTGTGTTCAGAATTCAAAAATGTATGGTGGTAGTCAGTAGGAAAGTGTCCAGTTGTGAGACAGTCGATTTTTTTAACACGCAATATTAAAAAGTATTTATTTATATCAAACTTTTTAAATTTTAGCAATTTTTAATAAGTGTCTCACAACTGGACACATTCTTTTTATTGACAAAAGCGATGTGCTCGGAAAATTGATGATAACTTTTTTTTGAGTTTGTCTGAAAAATATACTTTCTTTGAATAAAAGTTGCGTATTCAAGTTACTTTTCGAACGGTATATTTTATTTAGAATTTCGTTTACCCATTTAAAATTTATGAGTCAAAAACAAAAACCGTCTCATATCTAGAGAACAAAGGGAACATAATCATAGTAATTAATTAATTTTGAGAAAGTTCTATTACAACTCAAAGCCAAAGCTCACCTTTTTCGTTTTATTTTCAGCATAATTGAAATTTTGATCAATCTGGGTGACACTGGAATCAAAGTACTGCCACCTTTCATATGGTGCTACAATGTCACTGTCTCGACGATAAGTTGCAGTCCAATTCACTTGAACACTCTTAATAGTTTGTGTATGATACGGACATTCCAAAAAGTACAACAACCATATCTGAAAATCAAATTTTATTCAGATTCCCATTTATCTTTCTTCTTATATAATAATTATTTCTACTCTTGCATTTATATTTATTTAACCTTTTTTCTCTGGAATTATTTAATTTATTTTTCTCGTCTACAGAATTTTTTTTTTCTTTTTTCTATGCAGAAAGCTCGTGTTTCAATATCACGAGGTCAGTTATTTTAATCAATAAGTGACCTTAACCCATACATTGACAAATTCCATAGAATCTGTTACAATTATTTTCTAATCAAAAAATTGTCTACTTAAACTTGAATATAATATTCGAAGTAGATCAAGAGTATGCGGGTTGAAAGCATCAAATCTTTTTACATAAAGAGACTTTGAATTTTTATGATAAGACATGAATTATCATTCTCATTTGCATTCAGTAAACTTTATCGCCAATTCATACTATTCGTGAAAGTGAAAAAATTTTGTCAGTTCATTTTTATTATCTATTAATAAAACATTGAAAAAAAATCATTTTGTATTAAGCTTTTTAAATTAAAGATGACTTTGTTTTCTTTTTAGCAGACATCTTCAAAGACAAAAAATTTCTAAATACCCCATTTTTAAAAATCTGCAGTAAAGTTTCAATTGTAATAATTAATTAACGCTTCTATTACTCCTATGTTGTTAATTCCAAAAGGTTCGTCATACCTGATGAAGACGTCTTCGACCCACATGGGTAACATAGTCCTTAAATAAAATCAAATCAGCATCAGCATGATTATCACGAATTATTGTACATGTATTAACAGGGCAACCATGTTGTGTAAAAATATCATGTCCCACTTTTGCGTCACTCATACCATGAGGAATCAATATCTTTTTGTACGGTAGATCAGAGGTTCTATTGTAATCCGGAGGTACAAACATTAGCTGAAACAAGTTCAAGATTATCAGTAATGAAAAATTTATATCAAAAGTCACAAAGAAATAATTGATTTTAAACTATTTTCATCTTTACTAAAATCTAACACTTCGTTAAATAATAATTGAACAATGACGGAAATGTATATGCTAAGATCAAGACAGCTTGCAGGAACAAAGAGACTAGAAGGGACTAGTATTGTTAAAAGATGGCAAAAGAGATAGCAACTTTGATTCAAGAGGTGTTTTTAATTAATACCTTGGATCTTGCCTACGTGACAATATGCCCCAATTAGTAAAACCCTTTAGAAGAAAAAATCTCTAACTTCAGATTATTTAATATTCGTCTCAAGGCTCTTTTGAAGGTAAAGAAGTCTAATTCTCACGAATGTTGTGAATTAAAAATAAATATTAATTTTCAGAATCGACATTAATTCTCTTGATGGGTAAAGCTGTTCGAGAAGCAGTATGCTAAGTTCTAGTACTCAAGTTTATACAGATTTAAAAAGAATTTGTAATTTACACAATCGAATTTTACTCTAAGATTATGATCCGAGATGCTGCATGGTAAGTTGTCTAAATACAGATTTAAAAAGAATTTGTAATTTACACAATCGACTTTTATTTCAAGATTATCATCCAAGATGCTGTATGGTAAGTTGTAGTACTGTTTATACAGCTTTAAAAAGAATTTGTAATTTACACAATCGAATTTTATTGCACGATTATCATCCAAGATGCTGTATTGTATGGTAAGTATAAAAATAATTTTATTATTTTTTAATTTACCTGATTTGTTATTCTGTCATCTTTGGCATCTTCATCGGGCCAAAGACGCGCCAATCTTCTTCCACTTTGTCGATTTTTTAAAGCAGGTTGCGGTCTTCTTTTTCCACCTTTCATATACCAGGGTCTGTTGGATGGGTCTGTAATATCTACAATAGCCTCTATTGCATTCTGCACAACCGTTGTATTCATTACCTTAAAAAAGAATCAAATATTAAGAACAGAAAACTAATGAACCTAAAATACGAATTTATCAGCACAATTTTGATGTTAAATATTTTTTTAAAAATCTATAACAACCAATTAGTTATCACCAGTAGGCAATTTTTCCATTTGATCGTGATATTAAAAAGATATTTAAATTTAAAATTTCATTTCTAAAATTAAGTGCCAGTTTCAGCTCCTTCAATTTTTTGTTTCTAAATTAAAAAAATCTTATTAATTAATACATTAGTTGAGAAAAAAAAGTTAACAAACTAAAGTTAAATTAAATTGTATAAAAATAGAAATAAATCAAATTTCTTACTTGAGGACCATCTACTACTCGCATTGCCTGCAGTTGTCCTGCATCTGCACGTGTACTGTGCCATATTTCCTTTTGTCGCACATTCATAATCACTACAAACATTCCCGTCAAGCAAAAAACGTATAGAAAACATCTTTTTAATGAGAATCGTGGCAGACCCATACCGCCTTGCAACTTGGCAAAGCTTTTTTTAGCCTTGTGTATCTATCATCATCCTTCGCTACATTCGATTTATCTGAAATTTTTAAAGAAACATTTATTATTTATGAAAAGAAAAATTCTCATATTTCACCTATAGGTGGCATATAAAAAATTCAGTAATCCTTGATGTTTTTACTTGTTGCAGAGTTTTTTTCTTAACTAAATACTTTATTATGTTGTTACATTCTTTATATATAATTTTTTTAATATTGTTATCTTATTTTTGCATTATGCTTCTCAGTATTGTTCTTATAATTATTGTAAACATTTAACTTGAATAAGTAACCAAATTTAATTTTGATGTATCTGTTCCTTGAAGGGCTTATTAGCCCTAGGAACTTTGTTATTCTTAAATAAATAAATAAATAAATAAATAAATAAATTATGAAAATTTATTGCCAACCTTCCAATACTCAAGTTTATTTTAACTCTTAAAATTATAACAAATATATTGATGTAGAGAAATTAAATTTATGAATTGAAATAATTTTCACAGGCTATAAAACATTGTTGTTAATAATTTTCACATAATGCGAAAAACTTGGAACATTAAAAATCAAAACTAAATATAATTTTACAAATGTTGATTATTCCAATTCTGCGAGACTGTCAGACTGATAAGCATCTACAGGTGTAGGTGAAAGCCTCGATCAAGATTAAATACCGGAAGTTAAGTTAACATTCTAAAATTGTAATTTTTAATTAATTTTCTTTCAGAGCAAAATTTTAATGATTCAACATTCACTATTATGGCTATATTCATAAATTACAAATTATGTCTTATCAATTATTATATCAAATATTTGACAGATACTTTATAATATACTCTTAACTGTTTCTTCATAAAAATTAAATATACTTTTTAAACAGACTTATATAATAAATAAATAAAGTAACTAAATAATAATAATAATAATAATAATAATAATAATAATAATAATAATAATAATAATAATAATAATAATAATAATAATAATAATAATAGTAACTAATAATAGTAAATAATAATAGTAAATAATAATAATAATAATAATAATAATAAGAATAATAAAAGTAATAATAATAATAATAGTAATATAATAAATAATAATTATATGTTTATAAATCGAAAAAAGTAATTTATTAAAAAAAGATTATATTAAATTGAAATAATAAATCAGTAAATAATAAAAATCAAGGTGAAAGTAAGTTTAAAAATAATTTCTAAAATAATTCTTTTAATATTTTGAAAAATTTTTCTTTTTTGTCAAATATTTGTTCAAAAAAATATTAAACATTAAAAAAACATCATTAGAGTCGTATACGTAGACAACAATATTTTCACATATAGTGTTTAATTGAAAGAAGTCTAGTTACAACTTTGGTTATCTTTTTATCGTCATAATCTAAATAAATATGTCAAAATTTTCGTTCATAAGTGTTACGTAAATAAATGTAACTGAGTTTAAACGAGTTATTATGAGTTTTAAAACCTCTTTTTTAGTCATTCAAAACCGTATATTATTGTAGAAGATATCAAGTGACGAATTTAATTTTTAAATGCGCGATTCATAAATAAAATAATTATGATTTTTTATAGAGAAAATTATTTCCTATTTTCAGTAACGGAAATGTGCAATTTTCTTTTTATTATTATCATCATTATTATTATTATTAAAAAAAATTATAATTATAATAAAATTATAATAAAAAATTATAATAAAAATATAATATTATTTTATTATCAATAATACAAATTATAATAGAAATATAATAAATTTTATTATTATTAATATTTGTTATTGTTAACTGATTTTAATTAATAATTCATTTAGAAAAAAAAATTTTCTGTATTTTTTTATTCAAATCTTTGTATATTTAAAATTTTTTCTACCTTCTCTCTAAGGAATCCTTTAAATCCTAGCTCTTTGATTTACAGATTTCAATTATAAATGAAACAGCATTTTCTCGCGTGATATGTCTCTAACCTTAATGAGTGAACTGCATTAGGCAAATTGCCAAATAGATAAAAATCGATGTTACAGTTTTATTTCGTTAACAATAAAACTAAAAACAAAATCTTTTCTCTTAAATTCAAATTTCAAGATAGAATTTTATATTTTATTTTTTAAAAATCTAATTTAATTTAATATTTTAATTTACAATTCTTATTACAAGACACGATTAATAAATAAGTAAATTAAAAATTTTTTTTATTTTATTTATTAATTTAAAGTATTATTTTCAAGTGTAGGAAAAATAATGCAAAACTTACATGAAAATTTTAAAACTAATAAATGTTGTATGATTATTTAATGGACAAAATAATTACGATAATTTATAAATATTGAAATTATTTTTTTTTTTTGGTAATATTCACCTCGCACACGATTAAAATTGCGCGTCAACAAAAACGATATTTAATGGACTTGTCTGAAAATATTTTTTAATGCTCTTTTAATCGATATATTTTTACAACTTTCAAGTTATACAGTCAAAAGATAACTGAAACATTCAGTTGTAATAATAATTATTATTTGTTGAAATTTTAGCCTCGTGTATTCTTGAAGTCATGGAAAAAAAAACTTTTCCAAAATATTATCATTCCTTTATTACATAAACTTTTCAACTTTTATTTTCTTATTTAAAAAAATATTTTTTTAAAAATATTTTTTTAAATATTATTGTAAAATTATTTTTAAATTCTTTTCAAATTATTTCCAAATAAATTATTTTATAAAATTATTTTTAGTAAACTATTTTTAAATTATTTTTTATATAAACTATTTTAAAACTATTTTTAAATAACTATTTGAAAATTATTTTTAATGTTTTTTACCCAACTTTCTACGCTGTATTATTTATATATTCTACCAATTTTTATTATCATGTAGTGTCCTTTTATTGTTTTCACCGTGGGCTATTCTATTGCAAATTTAAAAAAAAAAAAAAAAAAAAAAAAAAATTTGAAAATTATTTTTAATATTTTTTACTGTACTTTCTACGCTGTATTATTTATATATTCTACCAATTTTTATTATCATGTAGTGTCCTTTTATTGTTTTCACCGTGGGCTATTCTATTGCAAATTAAAAAAAAAAAAAAAAAAAAAAAAAAAAAAATTTGAAAATTATTTTTAATATTTTTCACTGTACTTTCTACGCTGTATTACTAATGTATTCTACCAATTTTTATTATCATGTAGTGCCCTTTAATTGTTTTATACCTTGGGCTATTCTTTTGTAAATTAAAAAAAAATATTGACCCATAATGATCCAAGGATCATTAATCGTCAATACGGGGTCAATATTTTTTAATTAATGACTGTGATTGAAATAAACAAACTATCTTTAATTTATTTTTAAAAAACCGTTACAAAAACTATTTGTTTAAAATAAATTATTCAATGGATAAATAATTAATTTTTTTGAGGGGAAATTTTTTTTTTATTAATTTAAACTGAAAGTAGAAAACAAAAGAAGAAATTTTTTGGTTGTGAGGGAAACAATAGTTGTTTTTGACTTACTATATATGCAATATTGCCGCGAGACTTTTAAATTGACAGATGTAGTAGTAGCGCCATGTATTAAGCAGACTATCGATGGCCCAACGCCCAATGACTGCCGCACGTTTTCACACCACACGCACCAAGTCACGCGACAAAATCCGATTACATACACTATAAGGACTCATGTTTATTGTGTCCCTATTTAGTCTCCAGGACAATACAGCCAAGGGTTGTAACCAAGAAAATTTTTTTTTCTTTGCAAATTTATTTTTTGCAATTTTTTGAAATAAAATGAAGATGAATTTATTTGCGACCTGGACAAATAAAAAATAATTTTTCTTTTTTCACTCGCCGATTCGTTTCCCTTGTGATACACCTTATCCAAATGATTCTTCCTCAGAGCAAGTTCATATCAGAACCCCTCCTCTTATGAGTTGCAATCCAGGGGAAAATCCATAAAGGTCGCGTCTGCGCTTTAATTTTCGTGTATAGAGTGTATGTACCGCTCGCGATATTGCTGCGATCGACTAGACAATTTACTGCAAGGACTCAAATAATATAGAAGAAAATACCTGCCACCACTATATATCTAATGTTGATATAATCAGTAGACGTTGATATAGAAAATTAAATATATGTAAATTTTTAAAGGAATATGTACAGACATACAATATATTAAATGCATTTGAAAAACTGATACATTATTTAACGAAATATAAACTGATATGACTGTATATATATGGTTCGATGATATATATATATACATATACAGAGAAGAACACGTGTATTTGAACTATGTTTACTCTCCAAGGAAACAATAATTTAAAAAGATTACAACAAAAAATATCATTGATTCATAAAATTTTATTTCGGTTCAAAAATTTATCTCACAAAAGATATATAAATTTTATAGTTCTTCAGAGAAAGATTAGATTTGTGAAATAAAAAAAAAAAAAAGAAATTTTAAAGAAAGAATATTTTTTCATTTACAAAAAAGATTATTTTCAAAAAGTTTATCTTCAATGTAGGATCATGATGAGTTTTTAGACTATTAGGAAATACATTTCCTGACCTAGGTTTAAAAATTTTTTAATTTTAAATTTAAAAAATTTGAAAACATCGATGTAAACGATTACACAGGACCACAAAATTTTTTTAAAAGAAAGTATTGACCGGACCATGTTTTTTATATGTCTTTTGGGTCGCTGAATTCGAATTCGAACTCAGTTTTGCGCCATCACGTCAAGTTTTTTCAAAATGGCGGATCAAATATGGCTGTCGAATTTTTAAAAAATGTATCAGATTTACTTGAAATTTGTTACTCGGGGATTCTTAGGGTCCCTGAATGCGAATTTCACCTTAGTTTTTCAAAATTCAAAATGGCGGATCCAATATTGGCTGACGTATTTTTAAAAAATTTATCAGATTTATTCGAAACTTGTTACTTGGGGGTTTTAGGGGTCCCTGAATACGAATTTCACCTTAGTTTTAAAAAATCCAAAATGGCGGATCCAATATGGCTAACAAATTATTTAAAAATTTATCAGATTTTGAATTTTTGAAAACTAAGGTGAAATTCGTATTCAGCGACCCAAAAAACCTCCGAGTATAACGTTTCAGGTAAATTCTATAATTTTTTTAAAAATTGGTCAGCCATATTGGATCCGCCATTTTGAATTTTTGAAAACTAAGGTGAAATTCGTATTTAGCAACTTCAAAAACCCCCGAGTAACAAGATTCAGGCGAATTGGGTGAATTTAAAAAAAATTGACGCCATATTGGATCCGCCATCTTAAATTTTGAATATTTACGAGTTTCTTTGATTGTTTAACATTAAATAATATTTTTTCAGTGTTTTAAAGTTGTTTTTTTAATAGAATCTTCTGCTTAATTTTATTTAAATCTTGTTTACAGTCAGTTTTTTCGAATTTTATTAATTTGTGAAGAAACTTGACGTGATGGCAGAAAACTGAGTTCGGATTTGAATTCAGTGACCCAAAAAACATATAAAAAATATAGTCCGGTCAATACTTTCTTTAAAAAAATTTTGTGGTCCTGTGTTATTAGTAAAAATATCAAATTTGGGCTCTTTTCATCAATTTGAAGTTTTTTTTTCAATAAATAAGAGCTTTTTCCGACACAGGAAAAAAAAAGTCTGACTCCGTTTACACCTTAAATTCAGCCCATGTATTTCACATAAGTCTGTCCTTGTTTAACGGGGCTGACTCCGTTTACATCATAAATTCAGCCTCAAAAAGAGGCTGAAAGTAAAACTTTTTTTTTAGTGTGGAAATATGGAGGTACTCGGAACTTTTTTAGACTTTATTTTCAAATTTCAGAAAAAATTTGAATAACGCTGGTCTTGACAATTTTTTAAAACAATTTTTGAAGTTGAAAATCAAATTTTGGCTTATTTCATCAAATTGGAGCTTTTTTCATTTAATTAGAGTAAAGAAAATTATATTTCCGTTCTAGGGTTAAAAAAAATTGTAAAAGACTCCATTTTGGTCAGTTCTTAAAATATTTCAATTATTTTAAGTTATCATATATGGATTTTCACAAATTAATAGAAATTTAAATTATGAATATTATAATCAAACATGAATAATTTCAGACCAAAAAAGTTTTACTAAAAAATCAGCTATTTTTAACTGACAATCAGTTATTTTTAACTAAACGTCAGTGTAGAAATATTACTATTTAAATTAGTAAATGACTTTTTGCTTCTAAATCAGTTATTTTTAAGTAATTAAAATTTAGAGCTAGTAGAAATAAAAATTTAATTTTGAAGCATTAACATTTTTTAGTATATAAACGAAAGAATTTTCTAATATTGTATATTACTTCAGGAAACTAACAACATTTTTTCAATAATTAAAATATGAGGGAAAACTTTAAAACCCTGTTGCGTTTGTCTAATATACAATCAATATTTGTTCAAGCATAGGTCTTTGCTTTAAGTACTTGCTACTTACTTACCATTCTTCATATGGTGTTGCAGTAAAGAGTCTACCTAATTTAAAAAAATTTAGTTTTATACGAAAAAAAAAAATTTTTTATTTTGTTTAAATTTTTGCGCACGGAAAATGAATTACTAAAAATGAAAATAATAACTGAAGGTAAAAGATATACTTTTTTAACTATAAATTTAAAGTTTAATTTTATAATTATTTCCCGCAAACATATAGGGATTTTGAGGATGCCCCTGGGATGTCCTGTGAATATCCTGAATACCCCGATATTACAAGGGTTCATTGTAATAATAATTGCAATAAATTTAATTTGCGAATTTAAAAAATTTAATTTATGAAGATCGATATTTGAAAATAACTCGACACGTAGGTAAAAGTGTATAAAAGAAATCATGTGTTTAGTGCTACAGCTCCTTTTATATATGCAGCCAAATATCCACGTATGTAATTTTAAATTTCTACTGTTGTTATACTTTCAATGTTTATCACATTATTTAGAATTTTCTTTTTCGAATTTAAATTTATTTAATTTTACATATTGTCTTCTTTCTCTTTCCAAACTATATTTTTCAATTTTTTTTTTACTTATTTACACACCTGTTTACATTTCTATATATAAAATGTTTTCTCAAGCGAATATCTGCAGAATCTGTAGTTAAAGTTATTTTAACTTTTTTTCAATTTGGGAAGTAAAAGTTTAAAAAAACAAGCTCAACCTTCTTTAGGCTTTTCAAAAAAAATGAAGGCCCCAAATTCACCAAAAAATAAAATGCTCAAACTTGAGAAAACACCTAGTGGGCACTAAGCTTAAAGATATTCTAAGAACGTCCTAAAATGTCCAGAAAGCTTTATTGGAACGAAAAAAAATTTTTTGTAAACTGCTCCCTAAAATTTTACGTCACAAAAAGAGACCTTCACCTCTCTCATGAATGATTACACAAACAATAGGTATTTTATCGTAAGAAATAATTTTTATACGGTCAATAAGAGATATATATTTATACATTAAATCGTTCGTAGATTTAATCATAGTTAAGATAAGATAACTCTCTGACAAATCAATGTTTCCTTATCAAGGATTGCAACAATTTTAATTATATTAAAACATTTGTGTCTGTCAAAAGATTCACAGACTCATCGAAGAACTGAAGAATTAGAAAATGCGTAATCCAAAAAATTTGCGAATTAATGTAACATCACGTATCGGAGACATTCAGATACAAGATAGAGAACAGACCTCCAAGAAATTACCACACTTCAAAGAGGAAGAGGAAATTAAAAATGAGTGAGTTTTTAATAAAAAAATTTCATCATCATAACTATCAGGTTCTACTATCAACTATTATACACTTTAGACAGAAACTAAAGATCGAATAAACCCTTCTAGCCCACCTAAGATCGTTGAAGAAAATGAAAAGTTATCATCAGTTTCACTTGTTAAATTGGTGTGTATATTCAGACATTATTCATTCGAAACAAGTGCGAATACTATAATAATTGAAACAAGTGTATTTTTAGTTCCAATATGCAACAAAATGGGAAACGTTTCTTATGATAGTGGGAACGATATGCAGCATTGGTTCCGGACTATGTGTACCATCGAATATCTTTATTTTTGGAGATCTAGTGGGATCGATGGTAAATGCAGAAATGATGAACAAAACTTTGGAAATTACTACTGCAGATACTTTAAATGAAGAAGAAGACATGTTGAACGCAATTATGGATACAGTGACAAAATTTGCAATTGGAAATTCCATCATTGGCATAATGATGCTAATGTTCACTTACGTCAGTGTTATGCTCTTTAACTATACCTCACAACAGCAAACATTTCGCGTGAGGACAACATATTTGAAATCAATTTTACATCAAGATATCAGCTGGTATGATGTTGTGAAAAGTGGCGACGTATCCAGTAGATTAACCGAGTTAGTACACCATTCAAAATAATTTCCCTCTCGAAAAAGAAAAATAGCTAAAATTATAAATGATTTTTCAGGGACGTGATTAAATTTGAAGATGGAATCGGAGAGAAAGTGGTAATGTTTCTACACAATATGTTTGCATTTTTAGGATGCGTTGGACTTGCATTTTATAATGGATGGGAGCTGACTCTTGTTTGTGTTGTAGCATTTCCGGTAATGGTTATTATTCTCGTCAGTATAGCGAAGGTAATGTTAAATCTTAATTACTAATTATTAGTTAAATACTAACTCTCTGGGCACGGAAACGTCTTTGTTCTAGAAATGTTTCTAAAATGTCCCTAAAACCTTTTGTAGAACGTTTCATGTCCGTTACATAACGGCTTATGAACGTCAAATGTTCTAAAAACGTTTTTTAAAACATTGGACGTTCTTAAGCCGTTGTGTAACGGACATGAAACGTTAAAATAGTGATTAAAATTTTAGGCAACTGCCAGAATGACAAGAAAAGAAGTGGAAATATACGCAATTGCAGGAGCAATAGCAGAGGAAGTGATAGCGTCCTTTCGAACTGTTATTGCCTTTGGAGGACAAAAAACAGAACTTGAAAGGTATACGACAAATCTTCAGAAGACGTATAAAACCAACATAAAGAAGGGATTATTAGCTGGTGTTGGTTTTGGATTAGTTTGGCTATTTATTTATGCTAGTTATGCCCTCTCCTTTTGGTACGGCGTAACTTTAATTCTTAAGTACAGAAATCTTCCCCTAAACGAACAAACCTACACTGCCTCAACAATGGTAATAGTAAGTAACTTAATATTTCTCATTGCCGATCTGAATAGTGCATGTCAGAAATATTTAAATCATCAACTTCTAAATAAAGGTATTCTTCAGCGTTATGATGGGCAGCATTAATATGGGAGCTTCCTCACCTTTCATGGAAGCTTTCGGCATCTCCAAAGCTGCAGCTGCAAATGTTTTTTCCATTATTGAACGAAAGCCATTAATTGATTCCATGTCTTCTGAAGGCCTAAAGCCAATTGATATTGAAGGGATTATTGAGTTTAAAAACGTTTCCTTTGAATACCCTTCAAGAAAAGAAGTGAAGGTAAGAATTTGTCAATTCTGACTGTTAATTTAATGTTGAGACAAAAATAAAAATCTTTTTAAGGTCCTTAAGAACTTAAGCTTTACGGTAAATAAAGGACAAACGGTAGCATTAGTCGGAAGTTCCGGATGTGGAAAATCTACTTGTATTCAACTAATTCAACGATTTTACGATCCATCTGAGGGAAAGGTATTTAGTTACGATTCATAATAATAATTACGCGTTTACCTTTTCAGTGCAAGATAAAATCATCAAATCACTATGTTACAATTAATAGATTCGAATTGGAGGTTACGATTTGAAGGAATTAAATCCTAAGTGGTTTCGAAGCCACATGGGAATTGTGGGTCAGGAACCTGTTCTTTTTGACACAACGGTAGCAGAAAATATTCGATACGGAAATTTTGATGCAACTACGGAGCAAATTGTCGCCGCAGCAAAAGAGGCAAATGCTCATGACTTCATAATGAAATTACCAAACGTAAGTACAACTGGATGACAGACTTTAAGAAACATCATGATGCCAGTTTTATTAAAACACTTATCCCTTCTCTTACTATCCACTTATCATATTTCTATTAACTCCAAATGATTCTCTAAATAATTCTAAAATCATGAATCCATTTTCCCGAATGTCGAAATTACGGAACACTAGTCCACAAGTCACCACCGAATCATCTTCTCGTCTTCTCCGTGTCAGTCCAGCAACAGCGACCAAGTTAACTAGTTGTGTACTGTCATCGAGTTTATTCTTCGACTCCAGCCCAGAAAATCTCTTTAAGTACCAAATGGATTCTTCAAGTCTCGTCTTAGTCAAGTTCATTCAAGAAGATAATTTCTACTACGAGGAACATTTCTATTTTTCTAAGCACTGCATTACCTCGACATCATCATCAAATCAATAATTCTATCACTCCTAAGCTGAGGGGTGTTTTATCTAATTTACATCGACACCTGGACTCCGTACCTTTCACTGGTCCGAAAACAATTTGAGGGAAATCTACTGCATTCTCTGTTTTATCCCCATTTAAATTTTCGATTAATTCCCCAAAGTTCTAATTTTGTTTCAGTGTCCCTGAAGACATGTGGATCTACTCTTTTTCTCTGATTATAATTCTAACAGATTCAAATAAAAACTTTAATAATTTTAAAACTATCGATACAATTTGATATACAAACGAATTAGATAATTCGTTTAGAGCCAAAAATTTTCAATTAGAACATTTTCATCCACCAACTGCACCTTACCCATACTTCCAATCGCTTTGATTCTACATTACATGAGCCTCAATAGAATTCCCCTATTGCTTTCTTTCAGAAATATGATACACTTGTGGGAGAGAGAGGAGCTCAAATTTCTGGAGGGCAGAAGCAGAGAATTGCTATTGCCAGAGCAATAGTACGTAATCCTAGTATTTTACTGCTCGATGAAGCAACTTCAGCTTTAGACACACGAAGTGAAGCAAAAGTGCAAGCAGCTTTAGATAGGGTAAATTCTTTAAGATCTTTAAGATACAAATCTTGGTTAAGAATACAAAATTAAATCAAAATTTGACTAAAGAGTTGATTAAAAAAATCTTGTAGGCTAATCGAGGAAGGACTACAATTATAGTTGCTCATAGACTAACTACCATACGAGGAGCAGATAAAATTATTGTCCTCTCTAATGGTAAAGCTGTCGAGGAAGGTACCCATGATTACTTAATGTCTTTACAAAGTCATTACTATTCCCTAGTCACAGCTCAGGTATGAACACAGAAATTATTTGACCCTCTATCCAATAGGAGTTCAATTAGGGATAATTGAACTATATTTTCATTCATATATTTAGGTATCCGATTTTTCTGAATCGAGTAATGGTGACGTTAACAAAATCAATTATAACGAAGATGTTGACGAAGATGATGATCCCCTTGATGTGAATTCTAAGGTAATGTTCAATTTCAAGACTAAAGATGATAATTTAAAGAAGATACATTCCATTTACAGAAATTGAACCAAGATTCAAGTGATTCGATTAAGAAGATTTCGATTATGAAGATTCTGGAGTTAAACAAACAAGAGTGGCCTTATATTCTTCCTGCTTGTCTAACTTCGATAATTGTTGGATGCTCAATGCCATTGTTTTCCATTTTATTCGGAGATGTCATTGGGGTAAGTAAACATATATTTACGAGTAAAAATAATTTAAATTATTAAAAATATATAATTATTTTTAGGTACTTTCAGGTCCAGATGCTGATGAAGTTAGAAGAAAGACAAACATCTATTGTGCATTATTTGTATTAGCTGGAGTAGTTATTGGTTTATCAAATTTCGCTCAGGTTGGTCACGTTACACATTTTATGTAAATGAAAACAGATTAGATATATAAGAAAGTATAAATTAATGATGGAATTGTTTAATTAAAATGCATGGTAGATTTTTTTGTTCAGCATATCAAGTGAGTGTTTGACAATGAGGTTAAGGGGTTTAACTTTTGAAGCCATATTAAAACAAGAAGTTGGCTGGTTCGATCAAACAGCAAATGGAACGGGAGCTTTGTGCTCTAAACTTTCAACGGAAGCAGCCTCTGTTCAGGGAGCGTCTGGACAAAGAATCGGATTAACTTTTCAATCAATTAGCACCATCATTCTCTCTATTATCCTCTCTATTTATTACGAATGGAGACTCGGATTAGTAGGAATGTCATTCATTCCATTTATACTGGTTGTTACTTATCTCCAAGGAAAGCTCTATGCAAATGAAACATTCAATTATCATCAGAGTTTGCAAACTTCAACAAAGGTAGAATTACTTAATGTTTTATGTCAAGTTTCATCAAATATTGTAGCCAAGTATTCTAGGTACAAATAACTGAACAGATTACTTGAGTAATTTTTAAAAATTGGTTTCTTAGATTGCAGTTGATGCCGTTAGTAATATACGAACAGTTGTGGGATTGGGAATTGAAGACAATATGTATAAAGCTTATCTCTATGCCATGGAGCCATCACTTGATGTGGCCAAAAGAAATACTCATTATAGGGGTTTAGTTTTTGGATTAGCACGTTCCATTATATACTTTGCTTATGCTACCTGCATGTACTATGGAGGATATTTGATAGAGCATAGTAATCTCTACTATGCAAATGTATTCAAGTGAGTAATACGAATTCATATCGACAAGTCTCTAAGATTAAAAAAAAGATTTTTGTAATTTACACAATCGATTCTTGATTAACATGTTGACATTCTTCTGGACCTAACAAGACTTCAGCATGTCTCTAGTTTAATTATTTTAAAAAATTATTTGTAATTTGCCCAATCGATCCTTGATTGTCACATTGACATTCTTCTGAATATAAAAAATATAATCAATTCAAAAAGATTAAATTTCCAGGGTATCTCAGGCTCTTATAATGGGAACTGTAATGGTCGCAAATGCATCTGCGTTTGCTCCAAATGTACAGAAAGGATTACTCGCTGCTTCAAATATAATTTCGCTTTTAGAACGAGTGCCAAAAGTTCGAGATTCGCAAAATGCTGAAGAAATTCCAGAGGTAAAATTATTTACTAAAATGTTTTGATGTTTTTAATAACTTGTTAGGTCTAGTTATAAATTTAAAAACTTGGAAATATCTTATCTATATAAAAGTAAGTAAACTTTTAATCGAAAAGTAGAAAGTACATTACAATTTTATTATTTTAGTCAATTAAATTTCATCTTTCGTTTATAACTTTAATAGAATTCAGAAGGAATTGTTGAATATGAAGACATTACATTTGAGTATCCAACAAGACCAGGTACTAGAGTTTTAAATAGCTTGAATTTATTGGTATCTTCAGGAAAAACTCTTGCATTAATTGGAAGTAGTGGTTGTGGAAAAAGTACTCTTATTCAATTACTTGAAAGATTTTACGATCCTTTTTCAGGAGTTGTGGTAAATATATTTTACATAAATATTCTTCAAAAAAATTTTTGTACACAACAATATTGAATAACATTTAAATTCTAATGAATTTATTAACAATATCTTTTTAATGCTAATTACTTTGTTCTTTTCCAAGTATTTTTTTTAAGGAAATAATAGAAACACGTAGAACAATGTGTGCATCCGAATTTCGTAGGAAGATAAATAAGTTGTTTTATGTCATACACACTTTATTCTTTGACAAAAAAACTTTATCTTTATTTGAAATAAAAATCTTTACGTTATTTCTATTTCGCACTTGAAATGACGTCGAGTATTGTTTACTTAGATATAAAAACGTAGGGAATAAAACAAAATTTAATTATGGATTATAATTCAAAAATTTTAACAGAAATATGATGGGAAAGATATTTCATTTCTAAAACAATCATCTTTAAGAATGCAAATGGGATTAGTTTCTCAGGAACCAACTCTTTTTGCAAGAACAATTGCAGAAAATATTGCCTATGGAGATAATACACGACAAGTCCCCTTAGCAGAAATTATAGTAGCAGCCAAAAAAGCAAACATTCACAATTTTGTTTCATCCTTACCCCTTGGATACGAAACGAAATTAGGAGATAGAGGAACTCAACTTTCTGGTGGTCAAAAGCAAAGGATTGCAATTGCCAGAGCACTTATTAGAAATCCAAAAGTTTTGCTCCTGGACGAAGCAACATCTGCATTGGATACTGAAAGTGAAAAGGTAAAAACTATTCTTGCACCTTATACATTCTAATTTTTAGATTTTATTTTAAGCATAAGTTACTTCTTTTAAAAAAATTTTCATTTAAGATTGTACAAGCAGCATTAGATGAAGCAAAAGAAGGCAGAACGTGTATATTAATTGCTCATAGACTCTCGACAGTAGAAAACGCTGACAAAATATGTGTTATTAATAGTGGAATAGTTGCTGAATATGGAACTCATAAAGAGCTCATTGAAAAGAAAGGTTTTTATTACGATCTTCTGTGTCTACAAAATAAAAGAAAATAACATTATTATTTAGTTTTTATAATACCTTATAAATTCGATATTAACATCAATATGTTAGGTTCACTGGAAATCTGTAAATAATAAATTGTGATATTAGGTGAAATAAAATTCTTTAAAAGAAACATAAATTAATATCGATTTTCATCCACAAACACCTTTTGTAATATAAAGGTTAATAGGTCACTATTTAGCACAGGATCTCTAATCAAGTTTTCAAGATATCATATTATAACCATTATTGAAAGAAATAAAACCCTATTTTTTATTATTTCACGAAGGAAGATTTGTCAGTAGATACTCCAAGACAGATTGTAGTCGAAGATTATGTGGGGATGATTGCTTTTTTCTAGGTCGACACATTAAAACTAGAAACGTTCGCTAGAACATTCTTTATCCTACGTAACTATCGCCTGGCTTTAAACTTCGTCTACTATAAGGGCTTGAGTAAAGATTACGGATTTTGGTAGCACTTCGATGGTAAAGTAAATTAAACATAGAAATTAAATTCAAAATATGTTGTCTTTACAACTTTTTCTGATAAAATTCTACTTTCTATAACAATTGATTGGGTAAATTACAAATAATTTTTTAATTTTTAAAAATAATTAAACTAGAGACATGTTGAAGTCTTGTGAGGTCCAGAAGAATGTCAACATGTTAATCAAAAATCGATTGTGTAAATTACAAAAACCTTTTTTTTTAATCTAAATAAATTAGGACCATGCTGAAGTCTTGTGAGGTCCAGAAGAATGTCAACATATTAATCAAAAATCGATTGCGTAAATTACAAAAACCTTTTTTTTTAATCTAAATAAATTAGGACTATGCTGAAGTCTTGTGAGGTCCAGAAGAATGTCAATATGACAATCAAGGATCGATTGGGTAAATTACAAAAACCTTTTTTTTAATCTAAATAAACTTTAGCTAACATAATCTAGTATCTAAACCAAAAATTTTCTTAATTAAATTCGTTTTGTTATTTGAAGTAATTCTGTATTATTCTGCTTAGTATCTAAAATCACATTTAATTGTAATAGCCAGTGGAAAAGTTTGTTTCTAAACTGCGGTTAGTCACGACGAGAATTTCCACTATTAGTGGGATCTAACCGGAGAACTCAGTGGCTTTACTTTGCGCTATTTCAATGTTTGCTGGAAACACTGACAAATCTAAAATCACTACGTAAATAAAATGTACTAATATTATCCATTCACAAATGTTGCGTTATACAAACGTAAATGAAATTGAATTTCAAAACAAAAATTTTGAACCTTTCGTTTCTTACTTTTAAAAAATTTCAGGTGTTTTGCCTCCATATTTAAAACAAATCGTGTATATTACCATCTAAAGTCATTCAAATAACCTAATTCAAGGTACAAAGTAATTCCAACATTGACTATACTATTTATATTTCGATCAGGAAAACGAATAAATGAAAACTTAATGCTGATTGACTGAGTCTGCAGAAAGCTTTTAATATTCAAGAAAGTGGAAAGAAATATCTAATAACTTTTGCTTCTTCCTATATACATGGAAAAATGAAAATTTATTTATTTAAAAGCAATGTACTATTCCTCCGGAATTTTTGAACTATATTTTAATAAATCATGTTGTGCGACAATAATGAAGTAACCTTTTGTTTTGCCTTCTTAAATTTTTTGAAAAATTGTAATTTTTCCAGTCAACATAATCTTGAATACCGGGTTCAAATTCATATTCAAATATTAACTCTTTGTCTCTCTTTAGAGGTTAGTAACATCTGCTTTTCTTTCAGCAGAAACCACACTTCTTATCGATTAAACACTACATGAATTTATTTTCCATGTACTTAAAAATTCCATATACTTTAAATTCCACGTAATTGCTAATGATGTTAATAAGATATATAAATCGGATTGTCAATTACAACAGAATTCGATAAATCGATATTAATTATAATCGATTCTGTTGACGATAGCGCCTTACTCACTTCAAGACAGTTAGAGGTAATGATTCAAGGAAAGTCACGTATCTTAATTAATGACGCATTGCATTTTTCAATACGTCTACCTCTGAGGTTTGAAACGCGAAAAGTATTTTCTGATACAATAAGATATTAAATTTGATTCATGGTGAAACATAGAGACAACTCAAAGCAAAACGCATTTAATGTTTTGTAAATTAAAAACATGTCATGGGTTTAGATTTTAAAAATAATTGTAATATTATTCTAACCTTTCCGCAGAGTATTCAGCTCTTGACTTTGTTTTCCCTCACGTGTCGTATATCTTGTTTTGTTTTTCAGATCGTTGACTCTGATACAATGGAATATTTTGATTTTTTACTTTTACTTTTTTTTCTTTAAATCTTCATATCGGCAGTTGACATTCTTTTATCGTCTTGTAACATTTTTTTTTAGTAAAATTTTAGTTTCATTTCAAAAATAATTTTACGTCACCTTGACATGTTTAATATTGACAAATTAAAATCGAATTTTATTCTTAAAGAAGGAATCAAGGTGGTAAGTCCTGATTCCTAATTTATGTAGATTTAAAAATAATTTGTAATTTACACAATCGAATTTTATTCTTAAAGAGGAATCAAGGTGGTAAGTCCTGCTTTTTAATTTATTTAGAAAAATAGGTTTGTAATTTACACAATCGAATTTTATTCTTAAGGAAGAAATCAAGGTGGTAAGTACTGATTCTCAATTAATTTAGATTAAAAAAGTATTTGTAATTTACACAATCGAATTTTATTCTTAAAGAAAGAATCAAAATGGTAAGTCCTGCTTTTTAATTTATTTAGAAAAATGGCTTTGTAATTTACACAATCGAATTTTATTCTGAAAGAAAGAATCAAGGTGGTGAGTTCTGCTTTTTAATTTATTTAGAAAAATGGGTTTGTAATTTACACAATCGAATTTTATTCTTAAGGAAGGAATCAAGGTGGTAAGTCCTGATTCTCAATTAATTTAGATTAAAAAAGTATTTGTAATTTACACAATCGAATTTTATTCTTAAAGCAAGAATCAAAATGGTAAGTCCTGCTTTTTAATTTATTTAGAAAAATGGGTTTGTAATTTACACAATCGAATTTTATTCTTAAAGAAAGAATCAAAATGGTAAGTCCTGCTTTTTAATTTATTTAGAAAAATGGCTTTGTAATTTACACAATCGAATTTTATTCTTAAAGAAAGAATCAAAATGGTAAGTCCTGCTTTTTAATTTATTTAGAAAAATGGGTTTGTAATTAACACAATCGAATTATATTCTTAAGGAAGGAATCAAGGTGGTAAGTCCTGATTCTTTATTTATTTAGAAAAAAAAGTATTTGTAATTTACACAATCGAATTTTATTCTTAAAGAAAGAATCAAAATGGTAAGTCCTGCTTTTTAATTTATTTAGAAAAATGGGTTTGTAATTTACACAATCGAATTATATTCTTAAGAAAGGAATCAAGGTGGTAAGTCCTGATTCTTAATTTATTTAGAAAAAAAAGTATTTGTAATTTACACAATCGAATATGATTCAAGATTAAAAAATATGAAATAAAATGAATCTATAAAACAATTTCTAATTCATATATATATATAAATATAAATTAAAAAATTCCAGTAAGTTACGTATTCAAAATTTTTTCTTCACAATTTGTCTTTTAAAATATATATTCTTTGTTTATCAATTGTTTCATTATTTATCATAGTTTACAATGCTTTAGTGTATTAGGATTTATTGTTTGAATACATTGAATGCCATGAACGTATATATTGGAAATACGGATTTTATCTATGGATATTACAAAAACTTGCATCACTTTAAAAAAAAAACGTGCACACTGATGAATTTTTATATTTTTTAACAAAACGATAGTTTAAAAAAAAGAGTGATTATTCACGTACTTATGTTCGAACACTTCAAAGCGTAATTCTGACGAGTTATATAAACAACAATCAGCAACTGGACTGTAGTCAGAGACATTCGCGCGCAGGATATCCTTTTTGTCTATTATATTAGTCTACATATATTTTCTTAACTTAAAAATCTTCTCATATTTCTTTCTGCAAAATTGATATGTCCTTAATTAAAATGTTTATTCGCGACAAGAAATGTGTTGTTAATGAAAAATTTCGTGCTATTTTGAGTCCTGTTAAAAATTTAGTGAGTGGGCTTATTTAATAATTCTTTTATGAAATTGTTAGATTTTTTAAATATATTAAAGAACAATGATTGAAAACTTAATTAATGAACAATCTGTAAGTGTTAGTTAAAAAAAAAATCTACTGCAGTGGAACAATTTTGTGCTAGTGAATAGTTTTTCATTTTTATTACTTTAGAGATTAGTTTGAATATAAAATATCAATGTAAAAGAGAAAATTTTTTTAAGATAGCAAACATTTTGTTAAAATTGGAAAAAAAATTTTTCAATATTTTTAAAAATATTGGCAAAGCAGTGAGGTAGTAAAAAGAAAGATAATCTTTTATTTAGCTGTCACACATTTTATACCACTGCATTTATTTTTAAATGTTCTTAAACATATTACCTTTCAATTCGTTATAAAGCAGATTATAAGATAATGTTATGACAAATTTTGTTTTTTGAAAAATAATTTAAAGTTTAAATTTTAAAATTTTTTAACTTAACTAAAAATACAAACTTCCTGGCAATTTTGTGCTGGAAAACTATTACAAGTAAAATATTACTGACACAAACATTTTAATTGTATGCAGTAGGTATTAGAAGATATTGTAATTATTTTTAACTGTATTTATTTTACGGTAAACGAATTTTAAATTACGGTAAACATCATTCTAGTATTTAAAAATTTACTATTTAGAAAATTAAAATCTTGTTAATATTTCTAAATAATTATACTAATTAACTTAACGATGATTATCTGCTTCCCTTGCAATTATTTTAACAAACAAAATTAATTTAATTTAAACACTTCTTTGTGATTATAAACTTTTAAGTTACTAATAACAATAAAAAAAATTATGGTAAAAAAATTAAATTTTCAGTTTTACTTTGCAACAAAGTGCGAAATATTTTTAATGTTTGCATCAACATTATGCGCCTCTATAACTGGATTATTAGTGTCCTGGAATGTTCTGATGTTTGGAGAATTAGTGGGTTCAATGGTAAAGACAGAAATGATGAAGGCTTTCGATATGTCAGTGGAAAATGACTCAGACATTATGGACAGCGTCACTACTTATGCCTATGGAACATCAATTATTGGATGTCTTATGTTTGTTTTGTCATTCACAAATATCTATTTATTTAATTACACAGCGCAAAATCAAATATTTCGAGTTAGAAAAAAATTTTTCAAAAGCATTTTGCATCAAGATATCAGTTGGTACGATGTGATTAACAGCGGTGAACTATCATCCCGACTCACTGAGTAAGTTAATATTCTCGTTAATTTATTACTAAACATGCGCTGCAGATTTAAATTTTAATTCTAATAAACCGAGTAAGGAGTAATTTTAAATTTAAAAAAAATTCACTATCATGCACTGCGTACGTTAATTACTCTTTGTCAAGGCTTTTCTAAACTTATCTCATATATAAAATCTTTTATTAATACCTTGAATTAAAAATCATAGTTTGTCCTCTTTAAAAAATTTTTTTTTTTTAAAAAACTTATAATTAGTGTTTAATAATTAATTTCAAATATTGTCTATTTCAACACCACCAGGGACATAATGAAATTCGAAGATGGAATTGGAGAGAAATGGGTTATGTTTATACACAATTCATTCGCAGTTCTTGGTTGTTTGGCAGTCGCTTTTCATTCCGGATGGAAACTTGCACTCATTTGTATTAGTCCATTTCCTGTTATGATTTTAATCATGTTCAAAACAGCAAAGGTAAATAACAAAACACATTTCTATTGAAATAATTCTAATTTAGATTTCTAATTAAAAATTCCCATTTTTAAAATTTGAAATTTCTTAAAAGCCACATACAAATTTTTAAGGGTTACTCAAAATGAATTAAATAAAAATATTTTTGTAATTTATACAATCGAAATAAAAAATTCTTGAATGAAAACAAAAAGTTCTAATTCTCAAAGGAATTTGTAATTTATACTAATCGAATTTTATTCATTGATAAAAGATGCAAACTGGTATAGGTTCTGTAAAAAATACCCTTTAACAACCATTCAATTTTAGAAAGTTCAGTTTATCCCCTTAAATTAAAACTATAATTTTAATATTAATTTATATTTAAACAAATTTGGTAACCAATTTAATCGAAATGGAAATCTTACTACTATTTTAATAAATATTTACAAATTATCACATTTTTGAAACAAACAAATAAAAAATTTGTATTTACTCAGACAGCGTCTAATTCAGCGAAAGAGGAAATGGAAGTTTATGGAGCTGCTGGATCAATAGCAGAAGAGGCATTAAGTGCAATTCGTACTGTTTACGCTTTTGGAGGTGAAAAAAGTGAATTCAACATGTATACAAAAAATTTATCCCAAATCTATAAACACAATACTAAAAGGGTTATTTTCATTGCCATTGGTACGAGTTTATTTTGGTTTTTTATTTACGCCACGTATTCCGTGTCATTTTGGAATGGTGTGAATTTTATTCTCGATGAAAGATTCCTGTCCGAGGAGGAACAAACTTATACACCAAAATCAATGGCAACGGTAATACGAATATTCAATTAATGAATATGATGACAATAGTTGTTTGATATAAAGTTAACTTAACAGTATTAGAGAATTAATGAATCTAATTAGGAGTCTAATTAGAAATCTATTTCAGATTTTCTTCAGTATAATGATGGCAACGGTTAACATGCACATTGCTGCAAATTTTATTGATGCATTTGCTATATCCAGAGCTGCTGCTTCAAAAATTCTTTCTGTCATCAAACAAAAATCATCAATTGATAGTTCATCTAAAGAAGGTTTAAAGTTAGCGGATCTTCAAGGAAAAATTCAATTTAAAAATGTCGGGTTCAAATATCCTTCAAGATCACTAGTTCAGGTAATCGCATCGATTTTGTAACAATTCGTCCTGTTTTATGCTTCTTTAAATTTGATTATACATTTGATAGGAAAAAAAAGGCAAAAGATTTTTTTGAAAAAAGAATTCTTGGGTAAAAAAATAATACTTGGTTTCAGGTACTACATGACTTGAATTTTACTGTCAATAAAGGAGAAACAGTGGCGATAGTGGGAAATTCTGGTTGTGGAAAGTCAACATGTATTCAACTAATCCAAAGGTTCTACGATGTAAAGGAAGGAAAGGTATCGAATTAAAATTTTAATTTAAAAATACCGAGACATTTGGATGTCTAAATGATAAAGAATGTAATAATAATCAAAGAATTTCAGATTTTAATAGACGGGACCGATATTCAAAAATTAAATATCAAGTGGCTTAGAAGTCAACTTGGAATTGTGGGACAAGAACCAACTCTATTCGACACAACTATAGCAGAAAATATTCGATATGGTTTGATGGAGGCAACTATGGAGCAAATTGTATCTGCAGCTAAAGCAGCAAATGCTCATGATTTCATTATGAAATTACCAAACGTAATTATGCCTCCAAATTAGAAAAGAAAAGTATCAAATTAGATTTCAGGTATTAAAATGAAACCATTAGTTTGAAACCATCCCTAACAGAATTCGGATATTCTGAATATCCCTATGCTATCAGGGTTAGTTCAAAATTCATTACAGTATAATTACTTTTTTGAAACCACTAAATACGTGAATTTATTTTGAATGATAATGTTACATTTGGATTGATATTAATATTCTTAAATATAATAATGTGACAAATTTCTATCACTTTTAAAGCAATACGACACACTCGTAGGTGAAAAGGGGGCGAAAATTTCCGGAGGGCAAAAGCAACGGATTGCAATAGCAAGAGCATTAATTCGAGATCCAAAGATTTTACTCCTTGACGAAGCCACTTCAGCTCTTGATAATCGAAGTGAATTCAAAGTTCAAGATGCATTAAATAAGGTAATTGGCAAAATTTGCTGCACTGTTGGGTCAAGAATGAAATCCTTGAAATATTTTATTTCTCTTTTTAAATTAAATCACAATAATCATTAAGTTAAATTTTACAATTCAAAAGTTTTTCTTATATAATAATAATGATGGTTTGACACTATTGCTAATAGACACTGATCAATTGTAAAGTCATTAGAATAAGTGTGAAGAAGAGGAAAGTAAGTTCATTGAACTTGAACTCTTTTTGTTTCACCAACATAAGATGCTGAACAATCCTTACAGTTTATTTTATAAACAACATTAGTAATCTCGGTTTTTTTATTTTTATCCTTAACCTTTTTGATTAAATTATGATTCAAAACTTTATTATTAGTTGGTACAGTTAAAATATTATATTTGTTAAGAGTTGATGTTCTTTCATACAAATTTTGTACATATGGTAAAAAAAACTTTTGGTGATCTTCTATATAAAAATGAATTTACATTGTTTTTTTGATTATTGAATTCTATAGAAGAAATGCGTTTCTTAATGTATTTATCTATAAAATCAATAGAATAATTACGAAGAAGATGTTTGTTTACATATTCATTATTTTTATTGTGGAAATTTTTATGTGATAGTTTTATTGCTCTGTCCGTTAAATTATAAATAATTGCAATTTTTTGAGCTACTGGATGTTGTGAATCATAATTTAAAGTTCGTTCAGAGAAAGTAGGTTTTTTTATACCAATCCGTTATTATTTTATTGTTATCTTTAATTATAAGGACATCTAGAAAATTAATTGAATGATTAATTTCAATTTCATGAGTAAATTGTAATCTTATGTCTCAACTTATATATAGTTCTATCGTGTGCGAAGTTATATCGAGTACTGAAATTATTTCGTCTTATAATATTTGGTATTGTCTATGGATCATTCATACCTCGTTAATTACATTTTAATTGCTATTTCACACACTCGTCAAATTTATAAAATTTATAAATACCACATTTATATTCTCATTTTATTATCCGCTTAGCGACAATTATTAAAAATTGTTTATTCATTTTAGGTAAAGAAGGGGAGAACTACAATAATCGTTGCACACCGGTTATCAACAATACGAAATGCAGATAAAATTATTCTCCTATCAAAAGGACAAGTTGTGGAAGAGGGGGATCACAATAGTCTGATGAGTCTAAAGGGACACTACTACTCTCTCGTCACAGCTCAGGTATATATTTATTTATATCATATCTCCCGCAGTCCTATAGGACCATACATGGGAAAAATTACAAAAAATAATAAAGAATTATAATAATATAAAAGGCATAATACAAAAACAAATAAAGAAAAACAGAGCATTTATTTTAGGGTTCTAACAGTCTCTTAATGCGTTTAAATAGTCTTTGCCTAATATGGTTAGTGAAATTTAAGTTGTACTTAAAGGTTACTTCAAGCAAAAAAAAAAGTATGTTGCATTTAATCTAAAAAATGTATAAATATACAATTTTGTAAATGAAACAGGGATCTGGAGTTAACGAATCAAGTAGGGGAGAATCAAAAAATAATTATGGTACACGTCACGAAAACGAACGAAACGATGATGAATCGAGTTCCAGTTCTGAGGTATGTAATATATTCTATTTTCCTGTTTTATTAAGTAACTTTTATTAAGAGTTAAATCCTTCCATAGTTAAATTGATATTGGTAAAAATAAATGGTCATTTATAGTCGGCTTACAATCATTTGTTTTTTTATCCAAAAAAACAAGACTCTATAGTCGGAATCATTTATTTTCACCAATACCAAGTTTTCTATGCATGTAATTTATTTGTGATAATGAGTTTCAAACATATCGATATATTTTTATTTACAAAGTACAAAATTCCGAATTATAATCTCTGATGGAATTTAAATTCAATAGAATGCATTTGTTCAACTAGATTTAATTTGAAAGACAAAATCAAAATGTATCGATATTTAATTAATAAAAAATAAGTTAACCTACTTTTATCAAAAAGCGTAGCCAGAATCTTTGATTCAAGAAAAAAAATGTTGTTACCCTTATAGTTTTTGGATATTTAGAATATTTTACAGGCACCCTTAGGGTACCTAGATTGTCAAAAATTACAAAATACTATTTATTGTATTTACTTGAAATTTTTATAGAATATATTCGAGATATACTACTTTCAGTATAGTTTTCAGAAAATGAAGTAAAAAATAGATTTTCTAGAACGACCTGCCCCCTGACCCCTTATCCAATTTCTATAAGGGTTCAAAATAATTTCACTAAATTAATTTAACAAAATCTTATCATTATTAATTTCTCAAACATATGAAATAAATAATTAATGTACTGTAATATTAGTTCACCAAACAATTTTTCAGAACTTGTATTTTGTTGTGTAGAAAAGAATATTGATATCTTCAGGGTAATAATATTATTTCTGAGTTCCTATTTTGCCTTTTCTAAAAAATTATACATACAAAAATTAAATAAAACTTTTGTGTTAATATCAAAATAATTATATATTTCTATAATTTGAAAATTTTTTTCTGTATATTTAAACTCTGCACAGTAGATTTGATTTTAAAAAAACAGTAAATTGAATCTGGCAACGTTTAACTTTTCCGAACTTACGATCTGTGCATGAATTTTGCACAAAAGCACGAAATTATAGATTGCCTACGAGGATCTGGATGCATTGCCATCGAAGGAAATATCAACGTTTAAAATTTTAAAACTCAGCAAACAAGAATGGCCATACCTGATGGCTGCTTGTATCGCTACTATTGTCGTTGGCTGTTCGCCTCCAATATTTTCTGTTCTATTTGGAGATGTCATTGGGGTAAGTATTTATATTCGTAATCTCATTGGTTTATCTATTTAAGTGTTTAATTTTATTCTTTAATTTATTCTTGAATTTATTTTTGAATTTATTCTTGAATTTATTCTTGAATTGCTTATTCCAGGAACTTTCTATTCCGGATTCCAAAGAAATTCTGAGACGTACGAGTGTTTATTGCAAATATTTTTTAATAGCTGGGACTGTAATTGCTATTTCAAATTTCCTTCAGGTAGATATTTGTGGACTGGATCACATCTGGTTCACTGTTTTTTTTCTGTGTAATACGATTACATTTCCAGAGTTTATTAAAAATATTTCAGATTTATTGTTTTGGAATTGCTGCCGAGTGCTTAACAGTGAGATTACGTGGTTTGATATTCAAGACCATGCTTCGTCAGGAGATAGGATGGTTTGATAATCCATCAAATGGCACAGGAGCACTCTGTTCAAAATTGTCAGCAGATGCTGCAGCTGTTCAAGGAGCAACAGGCCAGAGAATTGGAACCATTATACAATCCAGTAGTACCATTATACTGTCAGTAGCTCTCTCCATTTACTATGAATGGAGATTGGGGTTACTTGGTACTCTCTTTGTTCCCATAATCCTGGTCACTACCTATCTACAGAATTTAATGTACAGAAAAGAATCCTGCAATCATCACGAGGACTTGGAAGCATCAACGAAGGTGATGACCTCTAAATAGTAAATAGTAGTAGACTATACTAAAAATACTATTCCAAAATTTCTATTCCTATACCAAATTTCAAAAATATACTAATAATTAAATACTGGTAATACTGATTTGAAAATATTTAGATGGCAGTAGAGGCAGTGAGTAATTATCGGACAGTCGTTGGTCTTGGGTTAGAAGAAACTTGTCACACTTATTACATAAAAGCACTGAAACCTTCTTTAGAAATGGCTAAAAGTAATAGTAAATATAAAGGTCTTATTTTTGCTATGGCTCGTTCGATTGTTTATTTCGCTTATGCTGCCTGCATGTACTATGGGGGTATTTTAATAAATGAGGAGCACTTGTACTATTCAAGTGTATTCAAGTGAGTGAGTTAATGATAGTCTTCTAAACTATCTTACCTCAAATCCCTAAAAATGCAAACCATTAATATATTTTCATGTTAACTTTGCAGGGTATCCCAAGCACTTATAATTGGCACCGTAATGGTAGCAAATGCTTCAGCCTTTGCTCCAAACGTTCAAAGAGGACTCCAAGCTGCGGCAAACATAATTGCTCTCTTAGAACGTGTCCCGAAAATTCAAGACCCAATGTACATCTCGAAAACTGAAGAGGTAGTTTTCTTTTAACTAATAATTTAAATTAAAACAATTGATAAGATTGTTTCCGCTTTAACAATCCTCTCATGGTCCAATTACATTCCAATCGATAAAACAAAACCAAAACATCATCACCAGAACAAGTGAAAAATCAACAAAATTGTTAATTGATTTCAGACTCCTAACGATTCGGTAAAATATAAAAAAGTGCTATTTGAATATCCTACCAGACCAGGTATACGTATTCTCGATGACCTAGATTTAGAGGTGCCATCCGGAAAAACAGTAGCAATTATCGGTGGTAGTGGTTGCGGGAAGAGCACAATTGTACAATTATTGGAAAGATTCTACGATCCTATTTTAGGTTCTGTGGCAAGTATTATACAAATCCGTTAATTGAAGTAATCTATACTGCAACTAGTTCGAATTACAATTATTGTTAAGAAGAATTTTAATTAGTTTTAGTAATGATTTGGTAAAATTTTGGTAATGATTCTATTTCAATTTAATGATTTCATTTTCTTCAAAAAAACTTTAAGGAATTGGATAAGACGAGTATCGACTTTATGCCCCAATCATCATTGAGAATGAATTTAGGATTAGTTTCTCAGGAACCAACATTATTTGCAAGATCTATTGCTGAAAATATTGCCTACGGTGATAATACAAGGGAGGTGTCAATGTGGGAGATAATTACTGCGGCAAAAAAGGCAAATGCTCATGATTTCATTACATCCTTACCCCTTGGATATGAGACAAAATTGGGTGATAGGGGTACTCAACTTTCTGGTGGTCAAAAGCAAAGAATAGCCATAGCCAGGGCACTTATTAGAGATCCAAAAGTTTTACTCCTGGACGAAGCAACATCTGCTTTAGATTCTGAAAGCGAAAAAGTAAATAATTTTTCTCTTAAATTAACGGATTTATGTTCAACTGAAAATTCTCTTTGGAAACATTTATTTTGTAAAATTGAATCGATTATGTATCGATATTTAACAAATGTTTATTTCTATTTAGATTGTACAGGCTGCTTTAGATAAAACGAAAGAAGGAAGGACTTGCATTCTAATTGCTCATAGACTATCGACTGTGGAAAAGGCTGATAAAATTTGTGTTATGCAATACGGTCAAGTTGTCGAGTGTGGAACACATGATGAATTAATAGAGAAAAAGGGCATGTACTACGATTTGTTATGTATAGATAAAGGTCGTCAATAATTTATTATTAGTTACAAAAAAAATTGAAATATTCCAATTCGAATTAATTGAAAAAGAAATTTTATTTCAATAAAACAAGATTCCAAAAAAGAAGAGAGATAAAATTTAAAAAAAAAAATTTTTCTATTAAACATAACTGTAAGATATGATTCATGTAAAATGATCTTATTTTTATAATAAAATATGTTCTAATAACTAAAGATATTATTAATATTCCATTCCTACTAGACATACTATTTCTTATTTCAAATTCAGTATTCATTTACTAAATCAAGAAACCGATTAACCGAGATTACACTTTCATTGCATAGAAAATTAATCCATTTGTTTTCAATCATGAGGATAAAAATTTTTATTACAGAATACACACTGATTTGTCAAATAAACTTGGATTTTAATTAAAATTTCATTCTACTTACACTTTTCAAATTTTTTTCTTCAATTATTTTATGAAAAAATTAATTATATTTAATTTTGCTGTTTTTATATAAAAAAATTTCTTTATATAAATTATTTGTACATTACGTAAATATTTCACTATCATCACTATTATCATTCTTTGCATATATTAAGGCAAAAAGGATCTAAGGCAGAAACTATAGAATCCAAGTTTATTACAAACAATATTACAGGTAAAATTTTATCTACTGTTAAACCATTAATTTTATCAGAAACGTCAATGACAAGTACACTCTATTCATCGTGGCATTTCAGAATTATACGTTTATAAATACAAATTACAAAAAAAAGAAAAAATAAATTACAAATTTTTCGCAAATGTAGAAATATATCAGTCGCATATTCTCCTTATATACTATTTAAAATAAACTTAGGTTCAAAAATGAGATTAAAATCACTTATTGTGAAGTTTCTTTATATTCCTAAATACTTGCTAATTTATTTGATTGGACATCCTGTAAATCCAGTTAGAGACATTGTAAGTAAAAATTTATTCTTTTAATTATCCATGAGCGAATTGAGTTTGATTTTAATTATAAGAATAATCGTATCGATAATTAGAAACTAGATTAACAATGAAATTTTATTCATGTTGATTTTAAATTAATGTAGTAATTTTTTCGAAGTTTACAAACTTAAAGTTTTTCCTTTTTGTTCTATTTCGAAATAGTGATTTTAAAAAAAAAGTTTTTTCAATTTTCAAATGACGATAAACATTGCAATTTTATTATTCTAATTTTGTATAATTTTCTAAGTAATGGTGGAAAATCGGTTTAAGTAAAGTCAAGAACGTAATACACAAGCGGTACGAATTTTATCTACTGGAAAGGCATTCAAATTATCGTTCACGATAGCATAAAATAGTGAACATACGAGGAATGTGAATAGAATTATAAACTTCTCACTAAATTTGTTGTTCTATTTTGAAAAAAATAAATAAATAAATATCCAAAAGTAAAATGTAAATAAAAGAATTTTTAAAAAAAAGTATCAGTTTTAGAGATATAAAAATTTTTCTAATTAAAATATATTTGTTATGAGGTATAAAATTTTTGCAAATGAATTTTTTTGAAAAAGTGTTTCTAAATTTTATAAATACTTTAAACTGTAAATGGTGCTCGTATTTTCGGTGGAAAATTCGTTTTGTAAGTAAGGCTTTAATATTTAACATTTTAGTCACTAAATTTTAATGTTGTTGACTTGTTCTAATTACGTTTGGAAAAGGTTCCAATGTCCTAAAGACATCCTGGAGTTATTTTAAAGACGTTTTTGAGTCAGACACAAAAGGTCCTTGGGACGCTTATAATCAGGATCATTTAGTTACTCTGTACATTTTAGGACCTTAGCATCTTTAAGACATTCTAGTACCCATTGGGAATAATTCCATTATTATTTACAACAAATCATTCCACTCACTAATTAAATATTTTTCAGTTTCGTTATGCCACTAAATGGGAAACATTTTTAATGCTCGCTGGAATAATCAGCAGTGTAGCAACGGGAATAGCTGTGCCATGGAATGTACAAATGTTTGGCAAATTAGCTGGAGGAATGGTTGATGCTAAATTGAAAAGCACATTTGCAGAATATGGAATTGACATTTCCGAATATATTCATACTGATGTGATGGAAGCTGTGTCAACATTTGCAGTGGGCACAATCATTATCAGTTGTATTTTATTCAGTCTGTCTTACGTCAGTATTTGTTTATTTAATTACACTTCACAAAGGCAAAGTCTTCGAATAAGATCCATGTATTTAAAATCAATTTTACATCAAGACATAAGTTGGTATGACGTCATGAGTTGCGGTGACGTCGCAAGCAGATTAACAGAGTAAAAATAATTTTATCATTACATTTCGCTTATTCGATTGTTTTTAAGAAGCTTTTTTTTATTTAATAATTTAAGGGATTATCCTAGGTTATTGTAAAGCATCAACTATGCCAGAAGATTTGATTATGTAAATCGCTAAAAAAAATTCTAAATCTAAATTAATTTCGGTGGTAAAAATTTAAAACTCACCATTCAGCAGCTTCAGTACTGTTTACTATTTGTATCATCAGTCTTCTTCTTTCTTGAATGATATTCGATTGTATAAATTACAAAAACCTTTTTTTTTAAATGGGGATTGGGACTTACCATCTTGCATCTACATTCACGTGGGGCTGATAAACACAAATGACTAATTTTTGCCACGAACATGTTCCTCGAATCGTTTCTGAGACCCTTTTGGTCTGTAGCAGACTTTCGACATGCTGCTGCTGATCATTCTGCCTCACCTCGACTTTGACTCCTGAAAGATTGCAGAAAAATGAAAGAAAATTATTTTCGTTTTACATAATCATTCTTTGGAATCTTAGCTTTTCCATTGATCCCAAGAACAATAAGAATAATTGCTAATAACCAAAAAAATCAATACGTCTTTAAATAACAAAATAATATGTTTTCTATTTCTAGAGACGTCATGAAAGTCGAAGAAGGAATTGGGGAAAAATTCATCATCTTTCTACACCACTTTATAGCCGTAATTGGAAGTACAATCCTTGCATTTTACAATGACTGGAAACTCGCCTGTATTTGCATTGTACCATTCATAGTAATTGTAATAATTCTTTATTGCGTTGCAAAGGTAGGCAATCAATGTTAGAAAATTGTATAAAGACAAATAGATTTTTAAATAAAGAATTGTATTTAGGCAACAGCAAAAATGACTCGAAAGGAAGTTGAAGTTTACGCACAAGCAGGTTCTATAGCCGAGGAATCACTGTCTGCAATAAGAACAGTTGTTGCATTTGGAGGACAAAAACGAGAATTTCAAAGATATACAAAAAATCTTTTATCCACCTACAAGAATAATCTAAAAGCCGTCTTATTATCGGCTTTAGAATTTGGTTTAATTTGGTTCTCCACCTATACAACATACTCATTTGCATATTGGTATGGAGTTGAATTAATTCTGCGAGAAAGACTTCTACCATTTGGATCTCAAACTTTCACACCTCAATCCATGGCTATAGTGAGAATTACATTTTTTTAAATTAATCTTTTTAATTACTGAATAGTTGTTAATACTGAATATTTAATATTATATTTACTATTTTTTAATTTTTATCAAGATTTTCTTCAGCGAGATGATGGCGACTGTAAGTTTAGTGTCTGCTGCTGCGTACATTGAAACTTACGGACTTTGCAAAGCATCAGCAGCAAAAGTGTTTTCCATCATTGAACAAAAATCGAGTATCAATAATTTATCGTCAAGTGGCATAAGACTGCCTCATGTTGATGGATTTATAAAATTTCAGAATGTATCTTTTGAATATCCATCAAGACCTAATGTCAAAGTAAGTTATTTTTTAAAGAATAAAAACCTTTACTTGACACAGAATATAAATTATATATACTTTTACGATAAAATTATGAATTACCAAATTTTCAGGTTTTGAAAAACATTAACTTATCAATAGAAAAAGGAGAGACTATTGCTTTAGTCGGAAGTTCTGGATGTGGGAAATCTACATGTATTCAACTTGTGCAACGATTTTACGACATAAGTGGAGGACAGGTAATTCGAACCTATTGAATTTTTTTAACAGAAACTAGCAATTAAAGAAAAATTATTTCGAAACTACTTTTTATTCGATTCCGATCAATAATTAAGAGGACTATCTTATAGCAATATCAGAAAATGTTATTTAAATTACGAATAGCTTTTAATTTTAAATAAACCAGAATAGCTGAACTCAACATGTTGCACCTTCCATTCGGAATAATATTCGATTGTATAAATTAAAAATTGTTTTTAATTGGTTTCTTGCTGTATTAATAGACGCATTGAAAAATTGTTCATTAATATCTATTTGTATTTTAACAACCATTGAAAAATAGAAAATTAATTATATAATAATAGATCTTAATAGATGGGTACGATATAAGGGATTTCAATGTAAAATGGTATCGCAATCAATTAGGAACGGTTAGTCAAGAGCCAATCCTTTTCGATACAACAGTAGCTGAAAATATTCGCTATGGCAATATGACTGCTTCCATGGAGGATATTATTATGGCAGCTAAGGAAGCAAATGCTCATCATTTCATTATGAATCTACCTTATGTAAGTTTCTGTAAATTGTGAAAAGTTGCTTCAAGTTTAGATTCTATGGGGGTTTAGAATAGTTAAAGTAAAATAGTATCTACATTAACCTAGAGTTTTTCTAATAGAAAGTGATTTACTTTTTCTAGCAATATCACACACTTGTAGGTGAAGGAGGAACGAAAATATCTGGAGGTCAAAAGCAAAGAATTGCTATAGCAAGAGCTTTAGTAAGAGATCCAAAAATTTTACTTCTGGATGAAGCAACTTCTGCTCTTGATACTAAAATGGAGGCTAAAGTCCAAGCTGCATTGGATAAAGTAATCTATCTTATTCTAGTTTTTAGTTTACTTGTTACTCTTTCGCTTCTTTATGCTTGGATCTTACTTCCTGTATGAGCGATGTTAGACTTTTCAGTCCTTCCTTGATTGTCATGTCGACATTCTTTTGTAGCTATTAGCATTTTGCTTTATATCGCAAATTTATGCCTAAGTCCCTATTTCTATTTGTGGTGTCAAATTCAGATGCATTGCTGAAAACAGATCTGCAACTACTTAATACTCTCTAATCAATTGAAGTGTTTTTATTAATAGGTACACAAGGGAAGAACGACAATTATTGTTGCTCATCGATTATCAACAATACGAGGAGCTGACAAGATAATAGTGCTTATGAACGGAGAAGTTGTTGAACAGGGAAATCATGACTACTTAATGGGTCTGAAAGGTCATTATCATTCACTAGTTACTACACAGGTGTGAATAAATTTAATTTACAATTTTTAAAGACTTTTTTAAGAACCTTATGAATCATCATTCAGAACCTTTATAATGATTACAATTTTAAATTATTTTCCAAATAGGCGACAAGCATTGACTCAATCCAAGTAAAGGAGGTGAACAAATTTATAAACAAAAAAGAAATGAATGCCAATGAAAATGAAGATGAATTATGTGCTATATCGAAGGTATTATTTATTCTTTCCACAGTTTCACCACAGAAGTCGAATTTCGACTTATCTATACCTTAGCCTTTTTTTCTTTTAATCCTAAAAATTTTTGCTTATGTACAATTAATTTTTACCTAAATTTACAGATTCCATTTGAAGCAGCCATTGAAGAGATTCAAAATGAAATATCGACAATGAAAATTCTAAAACTTAGCAAACCTGAATGGGTTTATATTTCTTTTGGATGTCTCGCTTCTATTTTTGTTGGACTCTCTCCTCCAATTTTTTCCACATTCTTCGGAGATGTTATAGATGTAATTAGTTTTCTAATGTACATTTTAATTTCACAAATTTCTTATTCCAAATATTTATATTATTATATCGTTTGTTAATAGTTTTTGTTATATTTTAGGAACTCTCAGGACCAGATACAGATTTAATACGAAAGCGTACGAAAATATATTGTGTACGTTTTATACTAGCTGGTATTTTCATTGGACTATCAAACTTTGCTCAAGTTAGTTAAATTTTTATTTTAAAATATTTTATCTTTTGATTTAAATTTTTTACAAATGTATTATTTGTGAAATTATAGTACTATTTACTTGGACTGGCCAGTGAATGTACAACTCTAAGATTACGAGGATTAATTTTTCAAGCAATGTTGAAACAAGAGATTGGTTGGTTCGATAGACCGATAAATGGAACAGGAGCTCTTTGTTCTAAACTTTCAACTGAAGTCGCTGCAGTAAAAGGAGCAACTGGTCAGCGAATTGGAATAATTGTACAATCCTACAGCACAATCGTACTCTCCATTGCGATGTCAATTTACTATGAATGGAGACTTGGATTACTTGGCACTCTCTTCATTCCACTTATATTAATAACAAAAAACCTTCAGAATTTAATGTACAAGGAAGAAACGTGCAGTTATCATAAAAATTTGGAAAGGTCTACAAAGGTTAGCATTAAAGATTTAACTAATTTTATTCGATCTTTGGAGATTCAACAGATGAGTAACAATATCTCGTCTCAAATTCCAGATAGCAGTTGAAGCAGTGAGTAATATTAGAACTGTAATTGCCCTCGGAATACAGGATAATTGTTATCATTCATACGTGGCATCAATGCAACCTTCACTTGCTCTTGCAAAACGAAATACTCACTATCGTGGGTTAATCTTCGCTATGGCTAGATCAATTTCATATATTGCTTTAGCTTGCTGCATGTACTACGGTGGATATTTAATGAAAGAAGAAGGAATTCCATACTCCACTGTATTTAGGTAAAGACAAACTTTGAACAAATCTAACAAATCTATTTAAGATCCATCACTAACAATAATTTTTAAACGTACCAACATATTTCAGAATCTCTCAAGCTCTAATAATGGGAACTGTTATGGTTGCTTGTGCATTTGCATATGTTCCAAATGTTCAGAAAGGTTTGCAGGCAGCAGCAAACATCGTGTCGATTTTAGAAAGACCTCCAGAAATCCAGAACCCATTGGAAATTAAGAAAACAGAGGTAAGGAAAACAATTAATGAAATTGAACCCATTGCTTACAATATGCAATTTTTTTTTACAGAAGTTCTACGGTCAAGTGGCGTATAAAGACGTAGTATTTAAATACCCATCAAGAAATGAAGTAAAAGTATTGGACGGTTTAAATTTAATGATTCCAGCTGGAAAAACAGTTGCCTTAATAGGTCCCAGTGGATGTGGAAAAAGTACAATGGTACAATTACTGGAAAGATTCTACGATCCATTAGGAGGAACAGTGGCAAGTATTAATTTGGCAAAAATAAATTTAATATCAAATTTAAAACAAGTATTCTAAAGCTAATATGATATATTCTAGAGAATAGACAATAATAGCATCGATACCCTGTTGTTAAATACTTTGAGAATGCAGATGGGTTTGGTGTCTCAAGAACCAACATTATTTGCAAGAACAATAGCGGAAAATATTGCCTATGGCGATAATACCAGGGAAGCGCCAATGTGGGAAATTATAGAGGCAGCAAAACAAGCAAATGCACATGAATTCATTACGACTTTACCTCTTGGTTATGAAACAAAACTTGGCGATAGAGGAACTCAACTTTCCGGAGGACAAAAGCAGAGGATCGCCATTGCTAGAGTTCTAATTCGAAATCCTAAAATTCTCTTGTTGGATGAAGCTACATCAGCATTGGACTCAGAAAGTGAAAAGGTACGATTTCTTCTGCTCGGATTAATAAATATTTTCGCTATGCGGAACTTACTCAATCTCGAATAGATTTTATCATGGCGACAATAATTAGAATAAATTACGAGTATTCGCGGATTCAGTAATAGAGTATTTACTCCTTTCTTCTTTCTTGAATAATATTCGATTGTATAAATTACAAATACTTTTTTTTCTCCCATGCTGCATCTTCTTTCTTGAATGATATTCGATTGTATAAATTGCAAATACTTTTTAATCTTACTATGCTGCATTTTCTTTCTTGAATAATATTCGATTGCCCAAGTAGCACGCTGTATCACCTCAGTGTCATGGTGATATCTATCGGGGATATTCCTGTGATACTGAGGAAGTATCATAATGTCCGCTTTTTCTAATATCCCTGTGACATTCCTGCGATATTGCTGTGATATTGAGGGAATATTGCCGCGATATTGAGGCGGGATATTGAGGGGACATTGCTGCGATATTGAGGGGATACTTCACAAAATTTTCGCTATAAGTTCAAATTTGGACTTATAGAAAAAATTCTGTGAAATATTCCCTCAATATCACAGCATATCCCGCCTCAATATCGCAGCAGTATCTCCTCGATGTCACGGCAATATCCCCTCAATATCGCAGGAATGTCACAGGGATATTCAAAAAGGTGGACATTATGATACTTCCTCAGTATCACAGGAATATCCCCGATAGATATCGCAATGACACTCAGGTGATACAGCGTGATACTTGGATGTATAAATTACAAATACTTTTTAATCTTACCATGCTGCATCTTCTTTCTTGAATGATATTCGATTGTATAAATTACAAATACTTTTTATTCTTCCATCTTCTTTCTTGAATGATATTCGATTGTATAAATTACAAATACTTTTTAATCTTACCATGCTGCAACTTCTTTCTTGAATGATATTCGATTGTATAAATTACAAATACTTTTTAATCTTACCATGGTGCATCTTCTTTCTTGAATGATATTCGATTGTATAAATTACAAATACTTTTTATTTTCCATCTTCTTTCTTGAATGATATTCGATTGTATAAATTACAAATACTTTTTAATCTTACCATGCTGCATCTTCTTTCCTGAATAATATTCGATTGTTTAAATTACAAATACTTTTTAATCTTACCATGGTGCATCTTCTTTCTTGAATGATATTCGATTGTATAAATTACAAATACTTTTTAATCTTACCATGCTGCATCTTCTTTCCTGAATAATATTCGATTGTATAAATTACAAATACTTTTTAATCTTACCATGCTGCATCTTCTTTCTTGAATGATATTCGATTGTATAAATTACAAATACTTTTTTATCTTACCATGCTGCATCTTCTTTCTTGAATGATATTCGATTGTGTAAATTACTAGCAACATTTTATCTTGCCATCTCTCATTTCCCACAGTGAATATTTGATTTTGTTTATTACAAATATTATTTAAATAAAAATTGGTAAATTGTTCAGATGACTAACAAGTTTGAAATGTGAATTTAATTGAGCATCAACTTTTACCATCCTGCAACTTCATTCCGGAAAAAATACTTTATTTTGTAAATTAATAACAGAATTTTTATCAAAATAATTTTGATTATTAGATCTAATTACTAAGAACTTTTATATTAACAATTTTTATCTTCTCCTCACGTTCTGCACCAGTTTCTTTAGAGGTAGTTTTACTACCCTCTTCTCTATTCTTCTGTCTTCTTGTAGAGACTTTGGTTTCCTTAATCCCAAACTTCCTAGAAATAATCATAGTATTAGACTTTGCTCACAGTAATTTTCTTATATCAGCATAACATAAGAATTAAGACGAATGTATGTAGAATATTCACAGAAATTTTGTTCACGAACGTAAAAATAGAGGAGAGCAGAAATGTTCTCCTCCTTTAAATTAACAAATAATTTTTGTTTTTTAATTAAACTTTATTAGAACGTGATTTATTGTTACATTAATTAAAAACAATTGTTTAAGACGAATTTCAACAGTATTATTTCATCTTTTTATAACTAATCATCTTGAGACTATAATAAATATATTAAAATTTTTAATATTACCTTCTTATAACTACCGAATATAAATAGTAAAACAAATTATATTTCAAAAATTGTGTAGGTTGTTCAAGCTGCACTGGATAAAACGAGGCAAGGAAGAAGTTGTATTTTAATAGCGCATAGACTTTCAACAGTTGAAAATGCCGACGAGATATGTGTTATAAATGAAGGTCAAATTATCGAAAGTGGAACACATAAAGAACTTTTGGAAAAGAAGGGCGCATATTATGAATTACTATGTTTACAAAATATACGACGTTAAATAATTATTAAATTTAGTCATTAAATTACAATAGTTTTTAAACAATCTTTCAACATTTTTTTTAAAAATGAAAATGGTCTGATAAAAATAATAATCAACACATTTCTTACGTAAGTTTAGAATTTTAACTTTATCTAAAATCTTATGTGTTTAATAGTAAGAAAACTGAATCTTGTAGTTTGTATTAAAGTATTTAAATAAGGGAATACTTTTTCAGAAATTATAACTTTTTCTTCTTTACTTGTGTTTCTTATCAATGCAAATTGCATTTGATGATAGCCATTTTTCCAATTCAGTATTTTCAGTTTCTCTGGCATTTAAAATCAATTTTTTCAACGTCTTATCTTTTCTCAAAGAATATCCTGAAAAAATTGGAATTTTTTTTATTTTGACTTTATTTATATTATTAATTTAATATTTTTCAATATATTATTAATCAAAGATAATTAAATTACCATTTTTTAGTAGAAGATCGAGACATTTAAAATTTTTTTGCGCGGGATTTCGAATATAGTATGCAAATAACATATGAAAAGCATTTTCTCCGAAATTAGTTTCTTGAAATATGTTTGCACCTAAGCGAAAAATATAATTTTTTCTAGTAATTATTAATTATTTGTTCATTAATTTTTTAAGTAATTATTTTTTTATCATCACCTTTCGATAACATAAATTCAATTAAACTGTGATTTCCTCTGTAACAAACGCGATGAAAAGGTGTTATTCCTTCAAAATCCGGAAGAGTTGCATTTATCAAATGTGGCCAATATGTCGCCAATTCAATGCATTTATTGCAATTATTCTTTGCATAACATTTCTATAATAAAAATTCTTTTAGAATTTAATTTTGTTTTCAATTTAAAATTTTCGTAAAATTAACATTTTTTAACATTAGAATAAATAAAATTTGTATTTTTAAATACAAGTATAAATTACTATAAATATAATTATAGATATAAATAAAAAAATAAAATATAAAAAGATTAGAAAAGAATAATTTATTACAAATATTAATTATTATATAATTGTAAATAAATAAAAACATTAGCAGGGCTCGAACCAGTGATAGTATTTAAAAATACGGGCTTTACGGACCAAAAATGAAAAATTATGGACCATTTATGGACCAATTAACAATTTTTAACTGAAATTCTTCTTTAAATCAATTATTTTTAATAATTTTTTAAAAAATATACTAAAAATTATATACTAATTATAAGTACTAAAAATAATTGAAATTTTGTAATGAGTTTTATTATTTATGAAAATAATTGAATTCCTAAAAAGAATTTTATTATTTACGAAAATAATTGAATCCCTCTAAAAATATTATATTATTTATGAAAATAATTGAATTATTGCAAGAAAATTTATAAAAAATTTGTAAATCTAATTAAATCCTAATTAAATTCTTTTGAAGAATTTTTTTGAATTTTTTTTAAATAATGGATTTTTTTTAATAATTTTAATTGAAAATTTTTAAAGTAATTGAATTTAATATGAACAATTTCATTCAAGTTTTTCCAATAATCATGTTTCTTAATTATTGAAATTAAACATTTAATTCTTGAATTTTATTAAAATTTTTAGAAAATAATTGAATTCTCTGGAAAAATTTCTTTAATTTATTGAATACAATGGAATTTGTTAATAATTTTTTTTTGAAAATAATTGAATTCCTGAGAAGAATTTTATTATTTATAAAGATAATTGAAATTTTGATGAGAATTTTTAAAAATTTGGAATATAATTGAATTTTTGCATAGAATTTTATTGATTTTGAAAATAATTGAATTTTTACAATCATTTGTATCTTCTCAAATATTCTCCAAATTATATCGTGTAATTTACGAACTTTTCTTGCTTTTTTAATCAAATTACGGACTTTAAGGAACTTTTTTTTTAAAAAAAACTGACTTTTACGGACCTAGTTCAAGCCCTACAATAGTAATTATTTTGTTATAAAAAAATACCTACATCACTCGCTTTATGCAGTTCACTTAGTGCAACGTCCTGACGCAATTTCAATTTATCACTTATAAATTGCCAATTATTTGTAAACTTCATTTCTTTAATGATATTTGGTTCGTCCTTAGTTTCTAAAAAATATTTACATTTAATAGTAATCGAGAAATTTTGAATACAATTTTTAGCGCGCGAATTTTTTTTTTAAGCCCCTGTTTAATATTTTTCTTTAAAACACGCATGTATAACGGGTTGCCTACCTTTTGCTCCTTTTGTTGTTGCTAACATTTATAGGTTATGTTTAATTCTATTTTGACAATTATTTTTATTTTCTACTAAACTCTCTTTAAATATAGAAATAACTAATTACTTACCTGTGAGAAATGTGAGAAAGGAGAGAAACACTCCGATTATAATAATCAGAATCAGAAAAATGAGAAAATATGAATAATTTGCCGGTAACAATATTAACATATTTTTCAATGGCAATATGTATTTATAATAAAATACATAAAAACCAATGAAATCATTGTCGTCAAATTCTTCTTTTAGTATAAATAACATTTTAATTATTCACTAATAAAGACGAAAGAAAACATTTTTTAGATTCTCATTTTAAAGTTTTTTAATTTTTTAACTGAAAAGTGAAAAAAAGTTTGAGATCGAAACTATATCGAAAAATCTCGAAATGGACATTAAACAAATAACATAGAAAGGCAAACTCAAAATTTACTTTCTCGTGCAATTTTCGCATTGTGACTGTACCCTAATGCAGAATAAAGGTCTACACATAATAAATTCAGGAAAGCAATACACGAGATAAAGGAGAACGAAAATATATTTCTATTCTCTTCTATCTCATTCTGTTTATTACATTTGATTGTCGTCCCACATTTATATTGCATTATATTTTGGGATACATATTTGGACACTTGTCGTCTGGGATTTTCACATTATCCACGGCGGTATGTATTTTTGCCCAGACGGGAGATATGTGAGCACAAAAAAGTATAATTCAACTTGAAAGATATTCTCATTTTATACATTTTATATATATATATCTATATATATAAATAATGTTGATCTCAGTGTTATATCGACGATGAAATTTTTTCAAATACAACATTTGATTTCAAAAAGGAAAAAAAATCCCAGTGTCAGAGAATAAATAATAAATAAAAAAGTGATGTATCTTTGTCCTAATTTTTCGGATAGTTGGGTGTTCGGTAATTTATTATTCAAAGTGGTGTTGTAAATTATTTAAAAAAAAAGGATCCGATTGTAAAAAGAATATTTTGGTTTATATGAAAACGAACAGAGGAGTTGAAAAGAAATGATCCAGATTTGTGTTGTGATTTAATTTTTCAAAAGAAAACAGGAAAGTGAAATTTTTTATTTGGGAGAAAAAAATGGGTTTTTCTACGAGTTTACAGGGTCAGGCCTCACATGAGGCACTTTTGGGTCGTCAGGAAGCTGAAATTAAACTCCTGGAGACGATGCGCCGGTGTCTCGCCACTAAAGTTAAATCTGATCGCGAATATGCTTCGACTATTTCTTCCTTGACTGTTCAGGGGAGAAAAATCGAACGTACCGAGGAACTTATTGGAAGTATGATTGCTCAGGTATTTTAATTTTTTATTTATAATAAAAAAAATAATATTTTCTAATGAAATTCAAAAGATATTTTTGTTTTCCTAAACTCGTGAAAACAGATTTAAAATCACAATATTGAATATTGTTTTTATCCTTTTTTTAAGAAGAGAGTAAATTTATATTTAATTTTTATTATTCAAAACTTTTAATAACATTTTTCGCAAAAATTTAATTATTTTCATGTAAATAATAATATTTTTTAGAACAATTCAATTATTTTCAATACAATTTTAATAAAATTTCTTGAGAGAATACAATTATTTTTTGAAAATATTAATTAAATTCGATTATTTTCAAGAATTCTAATATAAATTCAATTATTTTCGACAATTTTGATGAAATTCTTTTTAAAAAAATCATTATTTTCAAAATTTTAAATAAAATTCTTTTAAAAAATTCCATTATTTTCAAAAATTCTGATAACATTTTTCGAAACAATTCAATTATTCAATATAATAAAATTCTTCAAAGGAATTCAATTATTTTTATTATAAATAATACAATGTCTCAAAATAATACAATTATTTTTAAAAATATTAATTAAATTCTATAATTTTCAAGAGTTTTAATAAAAATTCAATTATTTTCAACAATTCTGATCAAATTCTTCGAAACAATTCAATTATTTTCATAAATTGTAAAATTCTTGTCAAAAATTCAATTATTTTTGTAAATAACAAAATTCTTCTGCGAGAAATTCAATTATTTTCAATCACAATTTTAATTAAATTTCTATTGAAAAAATTCAATTATATTCAAAATAATTTTAATAAAATTTCTCTAAGAGGTTCATTTTGTTTTTAAAAATTATAATAAAATTTTTCTAAACAATTCAATTGTTCTCAAAAGTTTTTAAGCAAAATTTTTTGTAAATTTCAATTATTTTCAAAATTTTTAATTAAAATTACTTTATTATTTTTTATGAACAATTTTAATATAATTTAATATGAAAATTATTAATTACAATTAATAATAAACACGATTATTTTAAAAACTTAATAGAAATTCTTCTTAAAATTCAATTATTTTCAAAAGTTTTAGTAAAAATTATTTTTAAAAAACTGCACTATTTTCAAGAATATTGAAATAAATTCTTCAAAACAATTTAATTATTTTAAAGAATTTTAATAAAATTTTTTCCAAGAATTAAATTATTTTTCAATACAATTTTCATTACATTTACTCGAAAGAATTCAATTATTGAAAAAATGTTGATAAATTTCTTGAAATTAATTAAATTACTACATAAAAATAATTTTATAAAAGATTAAAATCATTTTCTTGATCTAATTAAAAATGTAGTCGAAATGTCCCTTTAAAAATAATTTTGTTGAATATTTAAATTATTTTCTTGATATAATTACATAAAAATATCGATGTAACCTCCCATTAAAATTAGAAAGACATTTTCTTTCTGTATACGTATTAATTTGATTTAAATTTAATTTTCGTATAAATTCTTCTCAGGGTTGGCGAGAGATTATGGATTCTATAGATCAGACGGCAAAACTCATAAAACATCAGGCCGACTCAATGGAAACTAATGTTGTCGAACATATCAGCTTTCTCTATTCGGAGCGTAGACGTGCGAGGAAATTGTATCAAGAGGAGCAGACCTGGTTAAATAATCAATTTCAACAAGTAAAAAAAACGAAAATATTTTACTACAATGAAAATCAAAAAGTTTAAATTCAAAATTAAAATTGAAAATTAAAATTAAAATTCAAAATTAAAATTCAAAATTAAAATTAAAAGTTAAAATTAAAAAAAATGAAATATTTTCAAGATAATAACTTTTTTTTATTTCTTTTAGTTAACAGACGATGTGGCTAGAAAAAAGGCGGATTACCAAAAGAGTTTAGAATCGTATAAATTAATGAGATCCCGTTTCGAAGAGCATTACGTAAAGTGTACGTATTTTTTCTTTTACTTCTTTTATTTCCTTTAAAAAAAAAATTTCTGTTTATCGTATTTTTATTTTCTGTATTTTACTTTTTATTTTCTGTAATTTTCGTTTTATTTGATGTATTTTTCTTTTCATTTTCTAAAATTTACCTTTTATTGATTGAATAAAAAAGACAGAAAATAAAAAGAAAAATAACAGAAAATAAAATGAAAATTACAGAAAATAGTCTGTAATTTTCATTTTATTTTCTATATTTTTCTTTTCATTTTCTTTAATTTACTTTTTATTGATTACATAAAAATGAAGAAAATAAAATGAAAATTACAGAATAAAAAAAGAAAATTTTGTTATAGTTCCTATATTTTTTATTTTCCAAATTTTTTTTTGTTCAATCACAGCTGGAAGGGGAGGAAGAAAATTGGACGAAGTGAGGGAAAAATATCAAAAAGCCTGTAGAAAATTGCATCTAACGCATAATGAATACGTTTTACTTCTTGGCGCCGTCACCGAATGTGAAAATGATTTAAGAACTTGCTATTTACCGAGTCTACTTAATCGGCAACAAACAATTCATCAGGACTTTATTTCTTCCTGGTAATGCACACAAATTTTTTTTTATTTCTCATATTTTAAAATTAGAAAGGAATTTTCCTTTTTTTTTGTGTGTTGAAAAATCCTTAAAAATTAAAGTTAATAATTAATAATTCTTCGAAAATGAAGAAAGGAAAAAAAAATTAATTTCAATTTGTTTTTTTCGTCATATGCTTTACATTCTTGTGAAAACAAAGAGAATGAAAAAAGGTAATTAAATAATTACAAGCAGGAAATAAGCATTCTTATTTCAAGAACAACAAAATAATTATGTTTTCTTTTGATTTTTTTTTTTTAGGAAAATCATTATGCAAGATGTGGTCAAGTATTCAGATTTTACGACAGATAAATTTTTAGAGATTCACACTCGCATGAGGAAAGCAATTGATACTATAAAACCAATTGAAGAATATAAGGATTTTGTGGGAAAACATAGGTACAATGTTTTTTTAAATACTATTTTTTATTTTTACTCTATTTTTATTTTATTATTTTCTGTTACGAATTTTCTTTAAAAACTAAATTACTTTTATTATTATTATTATTATTTTCTATCATTTTTTTTACGAATTTTCTTTAGAAACTAAAATACTTTTATGATTTTTTTTTTATTATTTTCTTTTACGAATTTTCTTTAAAAACTGAATAAATTTTATAATTTTTTTCCATTTTCTTTAAGAATTTTTAGTAGAGATTATTAATTTTAAAAAAGAGAAACTATTTTCGAAAATATTGTTTACCTTTTCAGAACGAGGCCAGCATCGCCAATAAGATTTACATTTGATGAAAATCTCGTGGAAGATACGTCGGGAAAATTATTGCCAAATAAATTGACTGTCGATAATTTAACGATAGACTGGTTACGAAATCGCTTGTCAGAATTGGAAGTTTCTTTAAAAACAACGCAGCACAGTCGACAGACTTCACAATCGTTGGATAACAATTGTGATTCAAAGTAGGAAAATAAAGAAATTCATTTTTCTCAAATACTTTTCTTATTAGCGTATTTTATGCTCTATTCAAATTTATTTTCAATTTCATTAAATTGATTAATTTTAAAAAGTATTTGATTTTATCACTCGGTTGTTTTTAATTATTTAATAAAACATTGAATTTAACGATAATTCGGAGTGATTAATTTAAAATTATTCAATTGTTTTTTTTCAATAGAACGCCACTGCTTGATTATTCGCAAGAAAGAGAAGAGCTGAAAATTCGTTGTCAGGAAAAAAAATTACAGAGACAGGCCGAAGTGATAAGAAGTGCTCTCAATGAACTAGGATGCGAAGAATTACCTTCAGGTTGCGATCTTTCTGTCGAGGGATCTTTCACGGAAACACCCACAATAAGCAAGGTATTTTTAAATTAATTATTAAATTACAAAATTTTTGAATCCTAATTCTTATCGATTAAAAAATCAAAAATTAATTTAATTATTTCTACTTTCAATTTAAAAATTTAATTCATTTTCTTAGAATAGAATTTTTTTTTTTACAAAATTGCTTCCTTTGTTTAATATCAATTTTGCGGATGAATTACATTTACAGAAGAAAAGAATCGTTGAAAATGGTTTTTTCACGCTTAGAAGAAATCAAAGGTTTATGACAATAATAAAATCTCCCTTTAAATCATTACCGATGATTCATGAAACACAAAATGGAATGATTAGAGCAGGTAGCGAAGGCGCTACACCAAAAAGCGTAGATAGTCCACCTGTTGTACGTCTTTGTTTGTTGTTGCTGTTGTTGTTTTGCGACTGACAAAACTAGAAAAAAATTCCCTAATTTCAAAATAATATGCATGATACTAATTAAAAAAAAAATTTTAACTTGTGTCGTGATTTTCTTTTTATGATTGATAATTAATCCATGTTTTAAATATTATTTGAATTTTATTTAGGAATGAGAAGAAATATTAGGAAACTTTAGAAAATTAGGCCTATGGATACTTTTTGTGAATCGTGTTTGTGTAATTTTATGATAAGTAATTATAGTGAAATTATTTCTAAATTATTATTATTTTCTAATTCAGGTGCCACTGCGTGGAATTACAAATTCATCGAATAATCAAAAAGGAAGTGGAAATTCTGGTTTGATGGAGGAAGAATGGTTTCACGGTGTTCTACCGAGAGAAGAAGTCGTGAGACTTTTGGTAAATAAAGGCGATTTTCTAGTGAGAGAAACAACAAGAAATGACGAATGTCAAATTGCTTTATCCGTCTGTTGGGATGGACATAAACATTTTATCGTTCAAACAACACCAGAGGTAAATAATTCAAATTAATGAAACAGAAATTTTTAGAAATTAAACTCAAATAATAAATATTAATAAAATAATTCAATAATATAATTATAACTAATTTTCCAAATTTTTTTTGTTTTTATGGAATATAAATAGTGGCGTATTTTTCAAAATAAAAAATAATGTTCTATTCTAATTGTTTTTTTTCTCGATTTAATAGGGACATTATCGTTTCGAAGGACCGATGTTTCCCTCAATTCAAGAATTGATAATGCATCAATTAAAATCTGGTTTGCCAGTAACTAGTCGATCGGGAGCAATTCTCAAAACTCCGATTCTTCGCGAACGATGGGAACTGAACAATGATGACGTTATTCTTTTAGAAAAAATTGGACGTGTAAGTTTTTAATAATTATTCTCAAATTCAATAAGTTTAAAAATATTTAATAATTCATGGTTCGAACAAGTTAATTAATTTGAAAAAAATAGCGAAAAGTAACTCGTTAATTAATTTTAAAAACGCAGAGAAAAATAACTAAGACGTATTTGAAAAAAGTAGAGAAAATAACTTTAAAATCTTTTTTTTTTAATTTAAATTAATTTGAAAGTACTTTTTAAAAATATTTTTTCATGTGAAATTAATGAGGATTGTGTTTTTTATTGTGAATAGGGTAATTTTGGAGATGTTTATAAGGCACAGTTAAAATCGTGTAAGACTGAAGTAGCTGTTAAAACATGCAAAGTGACATTACCGGATGAGCAGAAGAAGAAATTTCTACAGGAGGGCAGAATTTTAAAGCAATACGATCATCCGAATATTGTCAAATTAATTGGAATTTGTGTGCAAAAACAGCCTATTATGATTGTTATGGAATTAGTTCCAGGTAAACTATTATTTTCTTTTTACATTATTTATTAGAATTTTTTTTAATATTTAAATTTTTTCAAGAAATAAATATAAATTATTAATTATCTCAATCAAACGTTTCAATTTAATTCAAAATTTCGTTTGACAAAAATTAATAATTTATTTCTTTATTTTTGACGATGTTTATAATACTTAAAATTTTTTTGCAAAACTAATCATTAATAATTATTTTAGTCAAACTATTCAATTTAATTCAAAATTTCGTTTCAACAAAATAATTAATAATTTTGAAAAAATATAAATAAATTATTAATTATTCTACTATCAAAGGAATTATTAATTATTCTACGATCAAAAGAATACTTAATTACTTATGGATTAATTTCCACTGTTTTCTGTTTAAAATTATTTTAAAATCTTAAAAAAAAACAATAAATACCGAAATGAAATATAAATTTGGTTTAAATTGCATAAAAAAAAAGGATTTAAAACGCAAAATTTTTGTTTATTTTTTTCTCTCTTAATCCTAATATTTTATATTTGCAAAAATTTATTTTCCAGGCGGCTCTCTTCTTACATATCTTAAAAATAATAAAAGTACCATCGCTCAGAAAGAGCAGCTTCGAATGTGTAAAGACGCAGCGGCGGGAATGCGTTATTTAGAATCAAAATCTTGTATACACAGGGACTTGGCTGCAAGAAATTGTCTCGTTGGTAAGCAAAAATTATTATTAATTTACAGAAAAAGTAAAATAAAATATTTTTATTTCTTTTCATAAATATTTTTATTATTAAAAATTTTTTTCAATCATTTATTATTTTGAATGGATAAATTTTATTTATTAATCAAAATTCACAGGAATTGGAAAATATTTTTTTTTGAATTCTATTATTTCTTTTAAAGAATTGTGAAAAAAATTTCTAATTTAATATTAATTTAATTTAATTTAATTTATTCTTTAAATTAAATTAATTTAATATTTAAATAATCTAAAAGTTTCTAATTCTAAAAAATTTTTAATTTCCAGGATACGAGACAATTGTAAAAATATCCGATTTCGGAATGTCTCGAGAAGAAGAAGAATATATTGTCTCGGATGGAATGAAACAAATTCCAATTAAATGGACAGCGCCAGAGGCTCTTAATTTTGGTAAATTAAATTTTCTCCCGCCTCGCAAAATAATTATTTACTGTTTTTTTGAAAATTTTTGGACAATAATTAAAATTCCTTTCCTTCAATCTTTTTCTTTTGTAAATTTATAAAGAATTAAGAAAAAATAAATTCTTCAATAAAAATTCAATTCAAAATTTAAATTTTCAATCAAATTTAAAATATTTCTTTTAAATTGAAAATGGAATTTTTTAATGAGAAAATTTTTATAATTTCAGGAAAATATACTTCACTTTGTGATGTTTGGAGTTACGGTGTTTTAATGTGGGAGATATTTTCGAAAGGCGGAAGTCCTTATCATGGAATGTCAAATTCTCAAGCCCGTGAACAAATTGACAAAGGTAGAAAATATTTTAAATATATTTATCATGTTAATAAATTCAATTCCTGTTACGAATTTTATTATTCATGCAAAAGAATTTTAAATATTTATAAAAATAATTTAATTCTTGCGAAGAATTTTTTGAAACATTTTTAAATAATTAATGTCTTACGACTAATTTTATGGAAATTCTAATATATAAAAATAATTGAATTCCTGAGAAATTGAATTCATTTTTACTATTCATGCGAACAGAATTGAATTCTTACGAAGATTTTTACAACAAATTTTTTTAAATAATTGAATTCTGTTTGGAAATTTTATGAAAATAGAAAATATTGAAAATCATTGAATTTGGAAAAGTTTTTAAAAATAGGAATTGAATCGTTTCAAAGAATTTGATTATAATTTTTGAGAATAGTTTTTTGAATTCTAGTATTAGCGAATAAGTAGTGGAAATTCTAAAAAAAAACAGAAATAACAAAAAAATGAAAATTATTAAAATTCAAAATTTATAAATAATTATAATTATTAATTATTTTTACATTTTCCGTTAAGGTTATCGAATGCCAGCACCGGAAGGAACACCCGACGAGGTTTATCGATTAATGTCACGTTGCTGGGAATATGATCCCGAAAATAGACCACATTTCGATCAAATTTATTCAATTGTCGAGACTTTATCACAAGCTTATTTATAAAAAAACAAAAGTTTATGCAAAAAAAAAAGAAAATTTTTTGCAAAATATTTTTTTATGAAAAAACAAATTTTATTCGAATTAGATCTAATTATTTTTTAAAAATTTTTTAAATTTCGACAAAAGAAATTTTTTCTACATCTGACGATATGGATAAGATTTTCTTTTTATTATTCGCGATCTAAAGTTTCATTGTTAAAATTGTTAAAAAAAGAATTTTTTTTTGTATAAAGAATTGTATTTTTTGTTTTCTTTTTTTTTTTATAAATTATATATATGTTTGTGAAAAAAAGTTTAAGTAGAGTTTATATATTTTTTTTTTGAAATTATTTCAAGAGTATTATTATTAAAAAATAGAAAAGAAATAGAAATTTATATTTTCTGTTTATTTGTAGGCGCAATTTATAGTTATATGTTACTTTTCTTTCCTGAGCATCAATTTTTAAATTAATCGCTGAAAATATTATTAATTAAGTCAACGCAAGTCATAAAATTACGTCCAAATATTTTTAGTTTACAAAGCAATTTATTTAGCAATTTAAGTGTGTTGAGCGAAACAATATTTAGAATTTTTTTTTTTAATATAAAAATGAAGTATTCTGTGATTTTCATCATTTTATTAATTAATTTCTTCCCTTCGGTGAAAAAAAAGGAAAAATGTCACTTCTTTTCCATATATTTAGCATTTGCTATTATTTTGTATGTCATGAATTATTTTTTTCTCCATTTTTGTGTGATTAATTTTATTTCTGCTTTACAAGTGAAACTTGAAATACATACACAGTGCAATATTTTGCAATTTTTTTTTAAATACTCATCATAATTGTCTATGAAAAATGTGCGACAACAAAAAAAATAAAAACTGCAAATAAACAATTTTTTCTGTATTTTTATTTAAAAATTGTTTTTTTTTTTGTTTAAAATATAGAATTCGAGGTAAGAAGTAAAAGATAAATTAATAACTTCTTTGCTTCTCTTTTTATAAATGTACAAAATTTACTTGTTTCATAAATAAAGTTTTATAAGTTCATCGCTAACTGCCGATGGTGTTAAAATTCCTAAATCGGTGAATAAAAGATTTATGTAATGTGGAGGAGTATAATCGACAAGTGGATGTTCTTTTTTTAAATCCTTCTTTAATGTACTCGCTGTATACTGAAAATTAAAATTAAATAAATTAATAATTAAATTAAAAATTAATTGTCTTTACTTAAGAATAATAAAAAATATATTTAGTAAAATAGACAAAACTTTACCTTAAATTCATCGGGTAAATCCGCCTGATTTAAGGGATAAACTCTTGAGAATTTGAAACTCTCTGTCAAGACGTAAAATGGTTTATTTGCAACTTTCGCACAAACTGCCATCGTATAAGTTCCCATCTAGAAAAAATAATATTTATAAATTAAAATATTCAGAAACTTTTGAAAATTTTTCTTCTTCTTCTTCTCATTAAATTTTTTTAGTTGAAATAAATTTATTTCAAACTAGAAAAATTAAGTTTATATTTTATTTATTTATGACTCACTTTATTAATTATTCCTCCACTTTCAGCGATACCTTCAGCGCCAACAATTACCATATCAACTCGTTCCATTATATGACCCATTGCCGAGTCAAAAATTACAGTACATGGAATTCCTAATTTTTGTAAATTTTGGCACATCTCCTCTCTAATGAAAAGAAATTAATTAATTAATTTTATTAATTTCATTAATTCTCTAAAGAAATTGGAAAACAATTTAAAAGAATTTTATTACAGAAAATTTCTACTCACCCGCTATTGTCAGGCGCAGAATTTGTCACGTAAACTTCAAAAGATTTACTATTTTGAGCAGCTTCTTTCATTGTTTCAAGAACAACTCTTGATTTCGAATGAGTCAAAATTTTCTATATTTATAAAGAAATTTTCAATTATTAAAGATAATTAATTCAATTATTAAAATGAAATTAAAGAATTTTTAAAATACAAAAAGAAAAATTGTCACATTATGTAAATTTTATTAAATCCACAATAAAAAAAAAAATAGGTATCTAAATACTTACACTGCCATCGGAAATAAATCGCACAGCATGTTTAGCAACTTTGCCACGAGCTGCTACAAGTTTTTTGTAAAATATTTTTCCTCTATGCAACATAATGTCCTTACATTCAGCAAATGACTGTAAAAAAGAGGAGAAAAAAATACTAAAATAAATTATAGTACGTTAGTTAAATAATTTTTAACGTCCGAGATTTTTTATAAAATAAGGTAAATAAAAATATTCAAATAATATTAAAAAAAATTCAATCTAAACGTTTTCCAAAAAATTAATTTGAAAATTCAATTATTTTTAAAAATTCACGCTATATTGCTTTTAATATTCAATTATTATCTAAAATTTAAATTGAAATTCATTTTTAAATCAATATTTATTTGAAATTTCTACGATAATTCCATTATTTAAATACAAAAATAAATAATTTTGTTGAATAATTGAACGTTTCTCAAAAATTCAATTCTGGTAAAGATTTTTATCAACAAATTTTTAAACAACTTGAATTTTTTTGACGAATTTAAATAAAATTTTTAACAAGAATTTTTAAATAAAAAATTTTGAAAATATAATTTCTGCCAAGTATTTTATTACTTTTCAAAAGAATTGAATTCTTACAATGAATTTTGATATTTATCAAATTAATTGAATTTTGAAAAAGAATTTTATTAAAATTCCTTAAAATAATTGATTTTATGGGAGAATTTTGTTGATTATCAAAATAATCGAATTTTCTTTTTCAGAATTAATTAAAATTTTTTTGAAAATAATTGATTTTTTGTGACGAATTAAAAGTTATTTATGAAAATAATTGAATTGTATTATTTTATTGAATAATTGAATGTTTCTTAAAATTCAATTCTTTCGTCGAGTTTTAATAAATGTACAAATATTATTATTTATGAAAATAATTGAATTATTGCGTAGAAATTTATAAAAAAAAACTTGTGAATAATTGAATTTCTGCAAAATTTTTATTATTTTATGAAAATAATTAAATGTTTGCGTAGAATATTTTTTTTAAAAATTTATTCGAAATAATTTAATTCTTTTGAAAAATTTTATTAATATATTAAATATTGAAAATCATTAAGAGGAGAATTTTTAAAAATAATTGAAATTTTGCCAAGAATTTTATTAAAAGTTTTGAAAATAATTGAATTTCGGAGAAGAATTTTATTATTTCTAAAGACAATTGAATTTTTTACAAGAATTTTTGACAAGAACATAATTGAATTTTTACGGAGAATTTTATTACTTTTATTTTGAAAATAATTGAATCTCTGCAATCATTCGTAATTTCTCTAAAATGCTACAAATTAATTTGCTATTTTATTATTTATTGAATTTAAAAAAATATAAAAAAGGAGAATAAATAAGAAAAAATAAATTTAAATAAGTAAAGGTGAAAAAATATTAAATAAAATAATAAAAGCAAAAAAATAAAGAGAAAAACTAATGTCTTTTTAAAATAAAAAGAAGTAAAAAAATAAAAATAAAACCTACACATTTACGTAAACATACCGGTGTGTCTAATGTTGCTAAAGTGATAAATCGAAGAAATAGTTCACTTCCAGAGGCAATTGATGTCACCGGATGATCAGTCGATCTCATCGCGTCAATTGCATTTTGTAAACAAAATCGCAATTCCTGAACGGTTTCAGCTGAAAAAAAAGAATTACAATTACAAATTCTCGAAAAAAATACTGTTTTATACATTTAATCAGAATAGAAAATATTCGTTTCTAAACAAAAAAATAAACTCACATTTTGAGTGCTCCAAAACTTCAAGAAGTGTTCGAATAGCAGCAACACCAGCCGAAACATCCTTGTCATTTCTGATAATTTCATTAAAATATCTGCATATTTCTACAGTAAATTCAATTTAGTTTTCATTTTGTTTTTCTAATAAAAAAAAATAAAAATAATCTGAAAAGAAGACTCACCTTGTTGTTCCATATTTAAAGAAATTGAGAAGAACTACCACCTTGTTTGGAATAAACAATAATAATGAAAGCACTAGAAATGGTAAAATAATTTCTCCCTGGTTTTTTTTAATTCATTTGTTGTATATGATTAAAATTAAACGATTTAAATAAAGAAATATGATGCAATCGTAAATATATGTCAAATAGAATTTTTTAGGTTAGGTTTCTTTTTTGCCAAAGAGTGCAAACATGCCACTTGCCCCTGGGGATTGTTGACCTTACCGACACCTAAGCCTCAAGGGAAGTATAAAAATAGTTAGTAATTGTTGCGTCAGTGGCGCTGAAGTGAAAAGACATGCTCAGTTTAGAAAAATTTCATCAATTATACCTTCTATATGTGCAGAAATATTTAATGATTAAAAATTATATATCAACCGCCGGAAGGCAACAACAACAATACAGTTGCAACAATAATAAAAGGAAATTATTAATGACAAGATTATAAACTTGTCAATTATTCCTCTGCTTTCTTTCTTGAATGTTTTACAATTAAATGAACGAAGAATAATAAGCTGCCTGGTAATAAAACTATTTTCATATTTTTCTATTGTCACATGTTCTAACCTCAAAATAGTGTTTTTTTTTAAATTTTGTGGATTTTCATTATTTTTATTAAAATTAATGAATCATATTTCAAATTTCTCGTAGGAATTCAATTATTTTTTAGAAATTTTAATAAAGTTCTTTGCAAGAATTGAATTATTTTTATAAATAATAAAATTTTTTGCGCTAATTCAATTATTTTCCAAAATTGTAATTAAATTTCGCGAAAGAATTCAATTATTTTCCAAAATTTTAATAAAATTCTTCGCAAGGATTCAACTATTTTTTTGAATAAGTAATTAAATTCTTCGCAGGAATTCAATTATTTTTAGAAATTTTATTAAAATTACTTGAATGAATTCAATTATTTAAAAATTTTTTTTTTTTAAATTCTTAAAAACAATTCAATTATTTTCAAAAGATTTAATAAAGTTCTTCGCAAGGATTAAATTATTTTTATAAATAATAAAATTCTTTGCAGGAATTCAATTATTTCCTAAAAATTTTAATAAAACTTGTTTATTAGAATTTTTTTTCAATTATCTACATTTTTAAGCAGATTTTTTTAAGAAATTTAATTGATTTCAAAAATTCTTCGAAACAATTCAATTATTTTTAAAAGTTTTAATAAAATTCGAAAGGATTCAATTATTTTTATAAATAATACAATTTTTACAGGAATTAATTTATTTTAATATTAATTCTAATAAATTTCTTCTCAAGAATTAAATTATTTTCAAAATTTGTTAATAAAGAAGAAAGAATTCAATTATTTTTATAAATATACCTACTATTTTTCGCAGGAATTCAATTATTTCAATTGTAATAAAATTTCTCGAAAGAATACAATTAGTTTTTAATAAAATTACTTGTAAAAATTCAATTATTTTCAAAAATATTCAAAATTTATTCAAAAATTCAATCAAATTTTTTTAATTCATAAAAACTATTCATTTATTTTTAAAAGATTTAATAAATATCTTCCCTAGAATTAAACAATTTTCATAAATAATAAAATTTCTCGTAGGAATTCTTTATGAGAATTCAATTATTTTCGATACACTAATTTTAATAATTCATAAAATTAAAGGAGAAGAATAATTGAATAAGTTTAGTAATCCAAAAAACAAGCAAAAAGTTATATAATGTTTCATTTTAATTCTTTATTGCTAATTAGAAGAATTTTGACTTTTATATTAATAAATTAAATTAAATTTTTAAATTAAATTAATTTAATTCTTTTAATTCTCAATTTTGCAGGCGAAGGAAAAATGAATTGCAAAAAACGACGCCTTGATGATGTCGATCACATTGAATCGAATTTAGTAACTTCGAATTGTGAATGTAAATGGACAATTTGCAATTTCAAGGAACTCCTGGGCACAACATTGGAAATTAAATCAAATGAATTGTCATCGAAAAAGAATGAATTTTCCGGTTGGTTCGCAACTTTAAAAATACACAACGAAGAAGACGAGGAGCAATTTTCATCAAGTACGGAATCCTATATTTCTTTTCACATTAATTGTAATGATAATGATAAATCATTTTTAAAATTGAATTTCGAATTATCAATACTAAATGAAAATGACGAGAAATGTAACGTAACGTCCTTAAAAAATCTCTCCCCAATTAATCTAAAAACATTCGGTTTCACTAAATTCATAACGTGGGATAAATTATTTAATCCCAATGATAAACTACTGCGTGACGATGCTGTGGAATTTTTCATAAAAATCACTCTGACAGAATATGAAATCAAAGGGAAAAATTCGAAAGCGAATGAAAAGGAAACTACAGTTGAATTAATTGAAAATAAATATCCAAATCTTATGTTTCAAAATGCCGATTTCTCTGATTTGACAATTGTTTTCGATGACGTTAATTTATTAGTTCATAAAGTGATTCTCGCTGGGAAAAGTGAAGTTTTATATAAAAAAATAAAAAACCTCAAAGATAGTGAATTAAGATTGCCAATACCGCTTTCGATTGGCCAGGAATTGATTGCATTTATTTACACTGGACAGTGTCCGAATTTAATGCAATATATCGATGAACTCTACGATTGTTCATTGAGATTGAAAATTGACGATTTGAAAATGTTAATTGTAACAACTTTAAAATATTCAATTCAAATTGAAAATGCCTTGAATCGTTTGATTTGGGCGGAAAAACGTCATTGTACAGATTTAAAAATTCATGCGATTAATTTTATAAAATCTGAAATTCCAAAGATAATTGCAACTCCGGAATTTCAAAATCTTATTGAAAATTATCCAAATCTCACAAGGGAATTATTTTTTGCCACTGTTGAAAATTATGAAGGACAATCATAGAAAATTTTTAGACACTTGAAAATTCAATTAGTAATATTTTTAAATCTTCGTTTATTCTGTTCTTTTTTTATTGAACGAAATTTGCAACCAGTTTACTTTTTATAAAGATTTATATATATGTAAGCTTGTGATAATATAATTTATACGAGATAAAATATGTTAATAAAAATGTATTTTTAAAGAATTTATTGTATTTTTTAAAACAGATTTTTTAAAAAAGAGTTTAAAATAGATTTTTTAAAAAAAGTGTTTTAAAAAAAAAGTTTTTAAAAAAGAAAAATTAATTAAGTCTGTACTTCTTGGAATTATTTATTAGAGGCGTTCGTGATGTTCTCGAAAAGCATCAACGTTGACAAAGTACAGCTTTACCCTCCTAGTAGAACCCGGAAGACATTTTCATGTGGACAATATATTTCTCAGTAAAAGAGCGAGTGAATCAAAATGGAATTTTAGGATTTTTACGGATAAACAATTCTTCTTTGTTTTTATCCCAAAACAATTATTTTAAATAAATTAAGAAAAAAGAATATTATTTTTAGAAAAAAATAAAAAGAATTGTTTATTGGTAAAAACCCAGAAATAAAATTTTAATTCTCTCTCTGTTTAATTTCATATAAAACAAAATAGAATTACAAATGAAAATTCTTCCCTATAATGAGGAAAACTTGATTTTAATTGTTCATTTTAATTAAAAATTATACTGGTTTAATAATAATGATACCATAATAAAGTAGTATGTTAATATAATAATTAATTATAATTATTAAATAAAATTTATAAATTATTATTCAATTATTTTCATAAATACATATAATAAAATTCATCGCAGACTTTGAATTATTTTTTATACAATTTTAATAGAATTCCTCGAAAAAAGTAATTATTCTAAAAAATGTTATTAAAATTCAGCAAAGAAATTCCATTATTTAAAAAACTTTTGACTACAATTTATTTATTACAATTTAAGTATTATTTTCAATACATTTTTAATTAAATTTCTTCAAAGAATTAAATTATTTTCAAAAATTTTTATGAAATTCTTTGTAACAATTCAATTTTTTTCAAAACAATTTTAATAAAATTCTTCGTAGAAATTTCTATTATTATTAAAAAAGAAATTTTAATAGAATTCGTCTCAAGAATTCAATTATTTTTCAAAAATAATATAATTCTTCGCAGAAATTCAATTACGTTGAAATATTTACAAAAATTCTCATATCGGTGAAACTAGCGACCTTCCGGCCACTAGCCATCAGAAGAATCCATAGGCGCCCCCATCGTATAGGACCCGGTGGTCCTATACGATTTAATCAACGCAAAAACAACGTACGCTAGCTATTAAAGTTTCTAAAAAAAATTGCAATAGTCCCCCTTTAATTTGCGACCAAGAAATAAACATTTGGTCTAAAATTGTTCGAGTGATGAATTTTTTTTGAACTTTTTTTCCAAATTTTCGTTTTTCTGATACGGGCGGGTGGGGACGCTGGCTATCAAAAATTGTTTTAAAAAATTCCTATTGGTCCACGAAAAAGAAGCATTAATCCTTCTTTAATTTGCGACCAAGAAATAAACATTTGGTCTAAAATTTTTACAGTTATGAATTTTTTTTGAACTTTTTTTCCAAATTTTCGTTTTTCTGATACGGGCGGGTGGGGACGCTGGCTATCAAAAATTGTTTAAAAAAATTCCTATTGGTCCACGAAAAAGAAGCATTAATCCTTCTTTAATTTGCGACCAAGTAATAAACATTTGGTCTAAAATTTTTACAGTTATGAATTTTTTTTGAACTTTTTTTCCAAATTTTCGTTTTTCTGATACGGGCGGGTGGGGACGCTGGCTATCAAAAATTGTTTTAAAAAATTCCTATTGGTCCAATATAAAAAAGCATTAATCCTTCTTTAATTTGCGACCAAGAAATAAACATTTGGTCTAAAATTGTTCGAGTTATGAATTTTTTTAAAACTATTTTTCCAAATTTTCGTTTTTCTGATACGGGCGGGTGGGGACGCTGGCTATCAAAAATTGTTTTAAAAAATTCCTATTGGTCCAATATAAAAAAGCATTAATCCCTGTTTAATTTGCGACCAAGTAATAAACATTTGGTCTAAAATTTTTACAGTTATGAATTTTTTTTGAATTTTTTTTCCAAATTTTCGTTTTTCTGATACGGGCGGGTGGGGACGCTGGCTATCAAAAATTGTTTTAAAAAATTTCTATTGGTCCAATATAAAAAAGCATTAATCCCTGTTTAATTTTCGACCAAGAAATAAACATTTGGTCTAAAATTGTTCGAGTTATGAATTTTTTTTGAACTTTTTTTCCAAATTTTCGTTTTTCTGATACGGGCGGGTGGGGACGCTGGCTATCAAAAATTGTTTTAAAAAATTCCTATTGGTCCAATATAAAAAAGCATTAATCCCTGTTTAATTTGCGACTAAGTAATAAACAGTTGGTCTAAAATTTTTACAGTTATGAATTTTTTTTGAACTTTTTTTCCAAATTTTCGTTTTTCTGATACGGGCGGGTGGGGACGCTGGCTATCAAAAATTGTTTTAAAAAATTCCTATTGGTCCAAGAGAAAGAAGCATTAATCCTTCTTTAATTTGCGACCAAGAAATAAACATTTGGTCTAAAATTGTTCGAGTTATGAATTTTTTTAAAACTATTTTTCCAAATTTTCGTTTTTCTGATACGGGCGGGTGGGGACGCTGGCTATCAAAAATTGTTTTAAAAAATTCCTATTGGTCCAAGAGAAAGAAGCATTAATCCTTCTTTAATTAGCGACCAAGAAATAAACATTTGGTCTAAAATTTTTACAGTTATGAATTTTTTTTGAACTTTTTTTCCAAATTTTCGTTTTTCTGATACGGGCGGGTGGGGACGCTGGCTATCAAAAATTGTTTTAAAAAATTCCTATTGGTCCAAGAGAAAGAAGCATTAATCCTTCTTTAATTTGCGACCAAGAAATAAACATTTGGTCTAAAATTGTTCGAGTTATGAATTTTTTTTGAATTTTTTTTCCAAATTTTCGTTTTTCTGATACGGGCGGGTGGGGACGCTGGCTATCAAAAATTGTTTTAAAAAATTCCTATTGGTCCAATATAAAAAAGCATTAATCCCTGTTTAATTTGCGACCAAGTAATAAACAGTTGGTCTAAAATTTTTACAGTTATGAATTTTTTTTGAACTTTTTTTCCAAATTTTCGTTTTTCTGATACGGGCGGGTGGGGACGCTGGCTATCAAAAATTGTTTTAAAAAATTCCTATTGGTCCAAGAGAAAGAAGCATTAATCCTTCTTTAATTTGCGACCAAGAAATAAACATTTGGTCTGAAATTGTTCGAGTTATGAATTTTTTTTGAACTTTTTTTCCAAATTTTCGTTTTTCTGATACGGGCGGGTGGGGACGCTGGCTATCAAAAATTGTTTTAAAAAATTTCTATTGGTCCACGAAAAAAAAGCATTAATCCTTCTTTAATTTGCGACCAAGAAATAAACATTTGGTCTAAAATTGTTCGAGTTATGAATTTTTTTAAAACTATTTTTCCAAATTTTCGTTTTTCAGATACGGGCGGGTGGGGACGCTGGCTATCAAAAATTGTTTTAAAAAATTCCTATTGGTCCAATATAAAAAAGCATTAATCCCTGTTTAATTTGCGACCAAGTAATAAACATTTGGTCTAAAATTTTTACAGTTATGAATTTTTTTTGAATTTTTTTTCCAAATTTTCGTTTTTCTGATACGGGCGGGTGGGGACGCTGGCTATCAAAAATTGTTTTAAAAAATTTCTATTGGTCCAATATAAAAAAGCATTAATCCCTGTTTAATTTTCGACCAAGAAATAAACATTTGGTCTAAAATTGTTCGAGTTATGAATTTTTTTTGAACTTTTTTTCCAAATTTTCGTTTTTCTGATACGGGCGGGTGGGGACGCTGGCTATCAAAAATTGTTTTAAAAAATTCCTATTGGTCCAATATAAAAAAGCATTAATCCCTGTTTAATTTGCGACTAAGTAATAAACAGTTGGTCTAAAATTTTTACAGTTATGAATTTTTTTTGAACTTTTTTTCCAAATTTTCGTTTTTCTGATACGGGCGGGTGGGGACGCTGGCTATCAAAAATTGTTTTAAAAAATTCCTATTGGTCCAAGAGAAAGAAGCATTAATTCTTCTTTAATTTGCGACCAAGAAATAAACATTTGGTCTAAAATTGTTCGAGTTATGAATTTTTTTAAAACTATTTTTCCAAATTTTCGTTTTTCTGATACGGGCGGGTGGGGACGCTGGCTATCAAAAATTGTTTTAAAAAATTCCTATTGGTCCAAGAGAAAGAAGCATTAATCCTTCTTTAATTAGCGACCAAGAAATAAACATTTGGTCTAAAATTTTTACAGTTATGAATTTTTTTTGAACTTTTTTTCCAAATTTTCGTTTTTCTGATACGGGCGGGTGGGGACGCTGGCTATCAAAAATTGTTTTAAAAAATTCCTATTGGTCCAAGAGAAAGAAGCATTAATCCTTCTTTAATTTGCGACCAAGAAATAAACATTTGGTCTAAAATTGTTCGAGTTATGAATTTTTTTTGAATTTTTTTTCCAAATTTTCGTTTTTTCTGATACGGGCGGGTGGGGACGCTGGCTATCAAAAATTGTTTTAAAAAATTCCTATTGGTCCAATATAAAAAAGCATTAATCCCTGTTTAATTTGCGACCAAGTAATAAACAGTTGGTCTAAAATTTTTACAGTTATGAATTTTTTTTGAACTTTTTTTCCAAATTTTCGTTTTTCTGATACGGGCGGGTGGGGACGCTGGCTATCAAAAATTGTTTTAAAAAATTCCTATTGGTCCAAGAGAAAGAAGCATTAATCCTTCTTTAATTTGCGACCAAGAAATAAACATTTGGTCTAAAATTGTTCGAGTTATGAATTTTTTTTGAATTTTTTTTCCAAATTTTCGTTTTTCTGATACGGGCGGGTGGGGACGCTGGCTATTAAAAATTGTTTTAAAAAATTCCTATTGGTCCAAGAGAAAGAAGCATTAATCCTTCTTTAATTTGCGACCAAGAAATAAACATTTGGTCTGAAATTGTTCGAGTTATGAATTTTTTTTGAACTTTT